GCAATTCGCACACTAGAATCCATTCCTCGGAGTGCGACCATGGCTCACGAGTTGGTTAAAACGATGCGCACTAAACCATTGGGGTTAAGTTTAAATGATACAGTAGACTATATTACAAATAAAATCAAAATAGACCACTGACGGAATGCGCAAGCATGAACACCCCCCCCCCCCAATTAAACTAGAAGTTAAAGACCACTGACGGAATGCGCAAGCATGAACACCCCCCCCCCCAATAGAACTAGAGGTCAAAACTGGAGTTCCATTATATTCTAGGATGTCAGAATGACATAGTAACGACATGGCAGCGGGACACACTCCTGAACGAGTTGTACGAGGACGAACGGCTGTGTGGATTTAAAAAAAAAAAAAATCTCTTTATTTTATCATTCAAATACATTTTCTCATTTAATTTTTTAATTTTTGTTCTTTGAATTTAAAGAAATAAATTGTAACTTAATTTATATTAGGTGTCAGAGTTTGGAAGGTGTTGTAGTGGTGGATGTTGTAGTGGTGGATGTTGTAGTGGTGGGTGTTGTAATGGTGGTTGTTGTAGTGGTGGATGTTGTAGTGGGTGGTGTTGTAGTGGTGGGTGTTGTAGTGGGTGATGTTGTAGTGGTGAGTGTTGTAGTGGGTGATGTTGTAGTGGTGGGTGTTGTAGTGGTGGGTGTTGTAGTGGTGGGTGTTGTAGTGGTGGGTGTTGTAGTGGTGGGTTTTGTAGTGGTGGGTATTTTAGTGGTGGGTGTTGTGGTGCTGGGTGTTGTAGTGTTGGGTGTTGTAGTGGTGGATGTTGTAGTGGTGGGTTTTGTAGTGGTGGATGTTGTAGTGGTGGGTTTTGTAGTGGTGGGTTTTGTAGTGGTGGGTGTTGTAGTGGGTGGTGTTGTAGTGGTGGGTGTTGTTGTGGTTGGTGTTGTTGTGGTGGGTGTTGTAGTGGTGGGTGTTGTAGTGGTGGGTGTTGTAGTGGTGGGTGTTGTAGTGGTGGGTTTTGTAGTGGTGGGTATTTTAGTGGTGGGTGTTGTGGTGGTGGGTGTTGTAGTGTTGGGTGTTGTAGTGGTGGATGTTGTAGTGGTGGGTTTTGTAGTGGTGGATGTTGTAGTGGATGTTGTAGTGGTGGGTGTTTTAGTGGTTGGTGTTGTAGTGTTGGGTGTTGTTGTGGTGGGTGTTGTAGTGGTGGGTGTTGTAGTGGTGGGTTTTGTAGTGGTGGGTGTTGTAGTGGTGGGTTTTGTAGTGGTGGGTTTTGTAGTGGTGGGTGTTGTAGTGGTGGGTTTTGTAGTGGTGGATGTTGTAGTGGTGGGTTTTGTAGTGGTGGGATGTATTATCGGTGGGTGTTGTGGTGCTGGGTGTTGTAGTGGTGGGTGTTGTAGTGGTGGGTGTTGTAGTGGTGGGTGTTGTAGTGGGTGGTGTTGTAGTGGGTGGTGCTGTTGTGTTGAATGTTTTAGTGGGTGAGGTCTCTAACATCTACGGAATCATGTTTGTTATATAGATGTAATGCAGGGGTCACCAAACTAGGGCCCGCGGGCCGGATCCGGCCTGCGAGGCTAGTTCATCCGGCCCGCCGATGGTACTTGAACTTGCTTGATAACACGTATGAATCACGAGAACACGTTGTGATACAAATTAAATGTCAATACTATGTTTAGAATACCAGGAGATCTTCACGCGTTCGGGGACCTTATGGCTTCTGTGCGCCTTAATGTACCCTTTATCATTTTAAATTATTGTATCTAGATCATCTTGTTAATTACACTCGAACTCCAAAAACAATATCGTCTCAACACGGTATCTTAATGGTAAATACATTTTTAAAATACAGTATGTAAAAGGAATACAATAATTACTCCCATCGCAGAGCCTAGTGGGGACGAGTTGAGCTGGCGTCAAAAAATGTCAACTTCTAAAGGTAGATGACCAACGTTTATATTGCAATCTGCGGTCACTTCGTTTTGCAGTCGTGTATCTGCTAGTGATATTAGTTTATATGGAGGGCTCGTACAGATCACATTAACACAGTCTATCACAGGTAAAAATAAAGTTACTGGTGAAATTTAACGTGGTTTATACTCGTACTCAGATCAGCATATAACAAGACGTACTTAAATAAGAATTAATTAACAGATGGTGACATCAATTAAAAAAAAAACTATCAAGTAACGAGATTTTTAAAAATATTTTTTAAATTTTTTTAGGAAAAGCTGTTTTAAAAAAAGAATCAATTTACATTAAGCCTAATTCTTGCTAATGTATTTTAGTCGGTTGTGCGGAGATCAGAAGACTGTGGAGAGAACATAGTTCTACAGATATGTGAGAAAGCTAGGAAATTGCCGTGGTCTTCTCTGGCACTGGATGAGTCTACTCACAAATTCTCGTGTTTATTTGTGGTGTCAATTTGGACTTTTAGATAATGGAAGAGTTGACATCCGTTTGCAGCATGCATGGAACACCTTATGTCTGAGAGCAAACATTTTCAAAAATAACGTACGTGAAGTCAACACATCGAAAGAGAGAGATTGATGAACATTTGAAAAAAATTCTTTTGATTGGATGCAGCAATTCCAAACCAAACATTGATGATATCTTGAAAGCCAAACGTCATTTTCACACATTTTAATCTCACTAATAGCCTGTTTTGCTGCTTAGTTTGTGAGATTCGAATATGTGCGCACTAGGTCTGATTTATTAACTGTCTTTTTGCTAACGTCACCTTTTTTGATAACTCTTTTTTTTTAGTGAATAAGTATGTTGGTTGTCTTTGCTTCTTTTTATTTTTGGATTGCACGCCACACCACTCACCCATGATTAACATGGAATACTAAACTTATTTTTTCGTCTTTTTTCCGTAGAGCTTTCGTTCTTGCTTGCAAGTATTGTACAGAATGACACATTTGCGTCTATTAATTTGCCTCAGGCCTTCCAACCCCCAGTGCATGATACCCTCACAAAGTAGTCCTTGCAACCAGTGAAATATCCTCATCAACACCAGGCACAGAAACATTGCGAATCCCCTCTTCGTGCATAGGAGCCAAAATGATCAATAAATTGATCGTGGGCCCTTAATATATAGAAGAAGGAGAATGATTATCCGGCCCGCGCTCGTCATTTTTTTTTGTTCCGGTTATATGGCCGCCGTGAAAAAAGTTTGGTGACCCCTGCGTAGTGTGAACCCATTGTAGTGACAATAAGAAACTAGCCCGTTTTAAATGAAAGTAAAAAAAGTGGTAAAAATTCGATTTTGAAAACTTATTTAAAACCGAAATTCCATAAGTCTTAAGCAACCCTACTATATTGTTGGGCGACCTCCATGGGGACTGCGTCTCGTCCCTAGTGTTTGTGAACCACTGGACGAGTTAATGACGTAAATTAATCTAAAGCAATTTATACCACTTCTGCTTCAAATGAATAAAAAGAATTATCGCACACACTTTTCGAGGCTTCTTTCTAGTTTTATAGAAAAAGATTTGAAAAAATATTTTATCAACTTAAACCTAACGACAAACGAAGATACCAAGTCTACGTACTGGTAGGTGCCTACTTTAAACATTTTTTTTTATATCACCATCTGTCTTTATCAGTGCAAATTTACTTTGAATTTCTTACAGATTTAAAATCTTGTATTTTTTGGTTATTTTATTTTCACTAATAACAACAAATATTTTTATTTTCACTGATCAGGCTATTCGTTTTTTATCATTATTATGAACGATGATTCCAACCATTTCGTAATTAAATGTTATTAGAATTCTGTTTTAGTGTCTCATCAAAACCATATTGGCATACGGACGCTTTTTATTAGTAAAAATGGCCACTGGGAAGTTAAAGGTCAATGATTAAAACTAAAATAATAATAAGGGCAAAGAGTGAGAAATAAAATATAGGTGACCGAGTTATGCCTGTTCAGCTGAATAAAATAACAGAGCCCCAGTACTTTAAATGCGAAACTACGGCTATTTCACTAAGTGTAGCTGGAACACATGACCCAATATCTTTATCCACAGCTCAGCATGACGACAGTTACCAAAATTATATTCCGAAGAATTTGCAGAATCAGTTGAATCAGGGCTTTGTTTTTAAATAAAGTTAATATGAAATTAAAAAGTATATATAAATTTAAATCTAAAGAAAATTAAAAATTCCTAAAACTTGATCAAAATGAGACAGGGCCTAAATCATAAATGAATACTAATTGTATATTTTAAAAGCTTAAAAATGATATGTGTTATTTTGAACAGGTTATAATCAGTGGCGTAGCTAGGGATTTGGGGGCCTGTAGGGGCTTAGCCTCTTTAGGGGCCCCTGCATTTTGGCATTCGACATTATTTAATGTAAACAAAAATTCGGACACGCCTCAAGTAGGGGCCCGGGGGGGGGGGGGATTCCAATTTGGGAACCCATCCCCTAGCTACGCCACTGTTTATAATTAAGATTTGCTTGATCCAATAAAAAATGTATTAATTTAATTAAATTCTAAAAACATTATTTTTAAATGATCCTAAAATAATTTTAAATGAAATCTTCTATTCCTCTGGGTTGTTATTCTAACGAAACTTGGTTTGAATTTTAGATTCTTTAATAAAAAAATAAATAAATAAAAACGGTCATTGCTACATGTTCATAAGCAAATTTGAAATATTAAATATTTTTTGTTGTAGGCATTATAGTATCAACACAAATAACGAATTAATCGCTTTCTCTTCATGCTTTAGCCACTTTAGGCGTACTATTATATTACAATCTAAGTTTTTATTAAATATAAATTTTCTGTATTAATAATTTAGCACATTACAAGCTTTTAAAAAAGCCTCATCTCATTTGTAGCTTTTACAGCATTGCGATATTGAACCTCCGCCACGTTAGTTTACACGACATAACGTCATTGAACTTCCTTGGTCCCGCAACAACAAAGAAACTAGACTAACTAGAAAGCCGCTAGATCGACTCTTTAACAGTGGTCACAGCGTGCTTTGCTGAGTCATCACATTGGCACGTCTCGCGCGAATTCATACGGAGCTACAACCGGGCTGATTTGCGTAAACTACGTAATTTCTGATGCTGTTAGTAAACTTAGCGACCACCTTCGTGGCCACATCCTTAAAAAAAAACAACAAGTGTATTTCAAATTTAAAGGATATATACACGGTGACGTGATTTGAAGATAAGAATTATAACGTAATATGAGTAAAAAGGTAAGAAATATGTATATCAAACATGTCAATTAATGTTGTTTTACAGTCAGACTGGTACCTCCATGTCTTTGTTTACGTTCTGTTTACAACACGAGGGTGTATGAATGGGAACTGCGCAGCTTAAAATTTTATTATTTTATTTAAATATCGACTACTTTCTATCGTATCATACGTTATTAAACGTGTCTAACAAAGATGATATTGATCATTGTTTAATTCGGAGGGTTTCTTGGCGTTTCTAGCCATAAAATGTGTGAAATGAAAAAGTAGGTCGCATGACCTCGTGAGGTGTGGATCTCTGTGTCATTGGACGAATCGAATTTTCCCACAACCTACAACTGGCTTTGTTTACGTTTTTGTTTCAATGAATGTTGATTTTATAACTGTTTCAATGCCAATTATTATATATACGTGTCATTATAAAAATACTCCGATTTTTACATTGATATCTAATGATGTAATTGTATCTTTTATTGTATATTTTTGCTGTCTTATGAAATCGCAATCGTTGTCAAGAATGCCACGCGGCCCTGGCCTGGCTAGGCTAGAGGATCCGTTATCTCGACCTCGCCTAAGGCTAAACGTTGTTTTGAAGACAGGCGCTTACTTTAAACCGTGTTAATATGAACGTCGAAAACATATATTCTTGTTATGTTAAACTTTTACCTTATACTATACATTAACTATTATATTTAAAGTATAAAATTAACCCAGTTAATTAATATATTAATTAATCTTATTATTATTATTTTTAAACAAATTAAAAGCTGCCTTTTTTAAAATTTAAAAAGATCAGTTCAGCCATGCAATTCTTGCCAGCTTCTTATATTTTGTACGTTATTGTTTAAGCATTATTTACTAGTATCAAGTTGTGTAGGTCTATCGCCATTTTTGTTGTTGAGTATTTTAATATGAAGAAGTTAGGGAGATGAAGTTATTTTGCTGTTGACATAATTGTTATAATCAGAATTGTCATAGTCATACTGATACTGCTAGTGATACTGGCATATTTTGGGGCCTATTAATACGATTATGCTATAACTATAATTATCATAATAATTATTAATAAAAATCATATTTAAATCCACAATCTAACAATAAATATGACATGAAATTTAATTATATAGCTTTTCAAATTATTATTTTTAAAAGCAAAGATTAAAATTATTTTTGCCAGTCATTGACTCTTGAGTTAATAGGTCATGAAGTTAGGCCTTTAATTTAAGAATTATGAAAAATTAATTCAAAAATTTCAATAAACAAGTTAATAATTGCAAGGTGTGATACAGCTTGAAATAGTTAAGCCGGTACATTTGGACACACAGAACTAAACTGCATTTAAAAAATAAGGGTAATTAAATAATAATCGTATGTGGATCAAATAATAATCGTATGTGGCCCCAGGCTTGTCTTGTGAAAGATCTTTAAATTAATTAAACCTTTGATAGTCTAGTTGTTGACTGAAGTTGTATTTGAATGCTCTGCAATAACAGCAAAATCGCATCTTTAAAGAAAAAAAATGGCATAAATAAACTATACATATTTATTACATTTATAAGTACAGTCTCTGGCTTCAAGTTACCAGTTTGTTTTGTATGATCATGAATTTTGTTTTGTGCTATTTTGAGCCTTTCGGGAGTTCCTCGGTATCCTGTATTATGATATTGTTTTGACACATTTCCTTCGTCTCACCCCTGACGACCAACATTTCTTTGTTCTCCTAGTGCTCGGCGTCGTTGGATTCAAATAATTTGCTTGCTCATGTCTTTGTTTAGTACATCTAAAAATAGTGGAGAGCACGATCGTAGTACAGGCTGTTGCTGACTTCACACAAATTTTAATAAAGAATCAAAGTCACGCGACTCGCTGCGCGGTGCGCGTTTCGTCAGTACTAATGGGCGGGGCTTTGTAGATCACGAAGTTGTTTAGACATGCGCGTTTAGACGTTTTTGCATACGTAGTAATCCACCATAGTCGTTAAGGGGATAAAAACGAAAAAAATATTAGAATCAACGTTGAATGAAAGGCCTATTTGATCTTTTATGAAATTTCATAGGGCTGAAATGTTATTTATTAAAATGAATTCATAAGAATACCAAACATTAAGGAACCGTGCACATATTATGTAAAGCATAGGCATTATGATGGCATAGGGTATATATAGGCACTATATAGGTCATAATAGGTGGTAAAAAAAGGGTGGGGTGGGGTGGACCGGGTGGTGGTTCATCATTTTGATACATTTTACGTTTTAATTAAATGGGATGGTAGAGAGTACAGTTAAATAACAATTCTTTTTATTTATTTAATGTATTCTTAATTATGAAAACTCTATGCTTTTAAAATTTACGAAACTAGCTTAGATTAATGCTCGGCATATATTATATATGTAAATATATATATATATATATATATATATATATATATATATGTAAATATATATATATATATATGCTTATTTGCTTGTTTTTGAACTTGTTCGGTTTTATGTGTGTGTGGGTGGGGGGTTGCTATTAATATGGGGGTCAATGGAAATGTTTAATGTCTTATTTATATTTATATGGGTAGAGGTAGGTAAAAATGTCATATTTTGTGTTATATATTATAATATGTGCACGGCCCCTAACTTTAGTGATTATCGTGTCTTAAGATATAGTCTATTATAAAATATTAATTAAAACAAATAATTAAATAATATTAATAGTAATATTTCGTCAAGGTTTGGTTGCCGCTTGTCTAATTATCAAAACAACCAGAGGCACGAACTTAAATTCTACCCCTAAATTTAAATCCAAAAGAAGTCGAAAATCCAATTTAATGGAGCAATCGACAGTTTTGATGTACGCCTTCTTTTGTTACCAGATTGGTTGGTGGAAATGCTTTTAAATCATGATTCAGCAGTTTTTAATAATTTTTCTATTTCCTGTTTATAAATAAGGGAAGCAAACTAACCTGAACCCGATGAACCGTTTTGTAATTCGACTTTTCCAGTTTACTTCTGTGGTTTATTATATAAATATATTTTTTAAAAGTATATACTCCACTGTAGGAAAGCCACAAATTATAATATCAACTGCTTAAGGCTATTCAGTATGTTCTTAGTAAAATAACACGGTTATCTTAAGTGAAATTTTCAAAGAAAAACAATCATTTACAATCTCAATATCATAATGAAAGGTGAAAACTTTGAGGTAAGATCTTAAAGTTAGAAAGTAAAGTTATTATGCGGTTTATTAATAATTAAACTTTTAATGTGTATGAGTGACAAGGGTTTTTAATTTGGACTTGGTGGATTTTGATGATCTTATTGAATGAAAATGTTACCCGGTATTGATTGATAGGTCAATGGGTGTGATACCTAACACTTTTAACACTAACATATTTATTAACCTAACATTTTTAAAAATGACATAACTTTCAGCTTTTTTTAAAAGTAGATTGACACATGCAATTTGTGTAAATAAAACAATATTTTGAAGCTGTTACAATTACTGATTAAAATTTGAATTTACCTTACATGTAATGTGATAAAACGTAAGGCCTAATCAATAATAATAACACTAATTACTAATACCATATTAATATTCATAGTAGTTTATAAATTAATTACAATGAAAACCTTTGAGCATGCCCAATTTATATGCAGTAGAAAAACGTTTTAAAACATTTGATGATACATCTCACACACTTCATCACAGATACATAAGATCAGTTTCATCAGGGAGAATTCTTTCACTTAAAAATAGGACTGTAAAATATATTTAAAAAAAAATTTTCCCAGCATGCTTCCCCAGTAGTTACCAAATCTAAATGATCACTGATTAAGACATTATTGTCACGATATGAGTTCATGGTTGCTGATTTCTGTGCTAGAGAAATACTTTGATATCTTGTGTTTAAATTTTTATAATTGTAAATTGTTGTCTTGGTCAAAGTATATTTAATCATGTGCAAAAAATGAGTGTGTACAATGTATTCATAAAATATTTCCAATCATTTGGATCAATGCAGAAAATATTGAATTCTCAGAAACCTACTCACTTCTTTCGTAATCAAACAAAATTATAAACATCATTAGATGGCTGCCCCACTCTGCTGATACAGCAGTTAATAATTAAGTGGCTGTAATACTACACATATCTCTTTAAATTTGATCTTACCATATTAACATATAGCATTCTTGCAACAAACATTACATCAAGGTTTTGCTTCAGAAAATGATGAATTGCCACATCAATGACTTTTTAATATCTCAGATTTTCATCCAGTCCACCATCCACAGACTTGATAGGAGTAGGTTTGACTATCTTATTGCTATCACCCTTTGTGATAATGTAGAATTCTTTCAACTGAAGCAGCTTTTCATAGTCTAGTCCATGAGCATAAGCTGATGATGAGGAATACTTGCCTGACCTGATGGCAATGTATGTTGAACGTTGGACCTGAATAAGTTTTAGCTTCAGTTTTGGCTAGACCATCCTTTAAAATTTCAATGCCAGCAAAAACTGATAGAATGAGTTTATGCCTTGCCGCCACAACCCAGTCATGGTCTGGGAAATTAACACAGTATTCAACATGCATTAAAAGTGGAGCCTGATTGTTAGCCGCTGTCAGTCCAATAGGAACTTTGGCTTTATCATCTTGGCTGATAGAGCACATTTCTCTTGGTTCCAACATGGAGGCAATTTCATCGAGATGATTTAGAGTAGCCTTACAAAATTGACCATCAATGTGTTTGGAGTGTGAATCATGTTGTACTCTATTTAATTTTACGGGTACAGTTCTGACATGTGGTTTACCCTCAAACGTTGAACTTTGTTTTGGTATTAATCTAGTATAAACAGCACATCTACTTCTACTTATATGAAAACCTTTGTTGTTCAGGTGTTCTGTCACTTCACCAAGAGTTTTGACACTGCGATAAACATTACTCAATCATCATTATCATCATGGAAGGCAATGTCAACAATTATCTTGAGAGGAAGTGGCTGATTAGTGGTTGGGCAGCTTTTTGTCAGATCTTTCATTCATCGATTATGTCAGGATTCTCATGTCAGGATTCTCTGCACACATTTTAGTAAAAATGTCCTCTTTTTTTTCCTGCTTTTCTTGCTCATATTTTTTTCTTTTCTAGCTGATCAACTTTTAGTTTCTTTTCTCTAATTTCCTTTTCCTGGTCTAAAGTTATAACACCGCTGCCCTTTCGTTTGTACAAGTCAATCAAGTCACCCTTGAAGATTTGACCCTGCAGCTAGTCTTGGGCTCTTGTTTTGTACTTAACAGATTCTACTTCACCACTACTACTACAACATGTACTGGATGTACCAGCTTCCAAAAAGTCAACATTTTTCTGGTCTTTCTCTTTAAGTGTTGATATTTTATATGTTCTTCTTCAACTGTTAAACTTGTAGCCGATTGACTAGAAGCAGTGTCATATTTCAAAGCATGACCTGTTGAGCAGTTTTCCTTTATATTTCTGTGCTATTGCAGCATATTTAGCTAATAAGGCATCTACTTTTGCTAACGTCACATTGGGAAATGGCGTTGGTGGGTCGTCGAGCGTGAGCTCTTAAAACCCCCCCGACACACCTCCACACAGGCCAGATTTTGGGTTTCCCCGTCGAGAGACCGTGCGGCGTCATGCCTGGAACCTCCCCCCCCAGCCTGGGGGACGTTCGGTCGACAGAAAACGCTGCATTTAAAGTGTTTGCCTTGGGTCTGGGTGGATTTTCTTCCACTCCGGAGGGAAGGTGTTGCGTTACCACCCCCCACCTCCCAAGGAGTCTTTAGGTTGGGACAAAAGCTGGGACTTAAGCTAAAAAATTATTTTATTTTTTTAAGTCATTCCAAATCTTATTGACTTCTTTTTGACTCTGTTGCTTACGCCTTGTTGGAAAAGCCTTTACATAGGCCTCAAAGAACCACTGATGGATAGGTTTTTCCATTTCCTTGTGTATTTAAAAACTGAAACAGCATTATGTCCCTGAATAACTCTTAAAAATCACTATATCGATAACTAATTGTTTTGTTTTGTAAAATGTGCGGCATGAATCAGATTAGTGGCCAGATTTTATTTCTTTTTCCCCAATCTCAGACCTAAAGCAAGTCATAAGGTAGCTTCCTTTTTGATTGCATGATGTTATTATTGTTACTCACTTTACTTTCCACTAATTCTCAAAATATGTTCCTGCTCTATCAATATCATTTATCTTGACTGCACATGACACTTGAACCTTGTCCTTGTTCCATACCTGCTACATGATCGCAAACATACTGCCTTACTGTGACAAACAGAATCTACAGGTGAAGAGAGGCCAACTTTTGACTTCTCTTGCAAAAAACAAAGTGTGCTAACATTCTGACCAGCCATTTGGGCACAGACAGACACACATTAAATAAATCTTTTTTATTTAAAGCCTAAACATTATATGCCTATTTATACTCATTAAAAATTTTTTAAAAGTAAAAACCAGTAAATTTTGAAGATTAAAATTTTAATTGAAAAAAAACATGATTGTTGACGACAATTAATCTTCCCCCTTGTCAACAATTGTCAAACATTTCCACCCCCAACTTCCCTGACATAATTAATGGACGCCCCCATCCCTCATATTAAGTTTAGGAAGTCTTAACAGCTCATGAAAAAGGTGTAATGCTTTTCCGTAAACAGGGACATGGGCTAGGAACTAGGGATGTCAGCGAAGCAAAAACACTGGTCTCTGCTCATTGTTCTCTCTCATTTTGACTATTGTAACTCTCTTCTATCAGGTTACCAAAACATTTTATATAAAAACTGCAGAAAGCTCATTACTCAGCTGCTAGATTAGTTCTAAAGGCAAAAAACGTGATCACGTCACTCCACTACCTCCACTCATATCATTGGCTCCCTATTCAGGCACGCATTGATTACTAGCTGTCTGTTCTCTGTCACAACTATTTCTCTGGTTCCTGCCCTCCTATCTTACTGAACTTCTTACTGTTTATTCACCCCTTCGAAACCTTTGTTCCACCGCAGACACACGTATTCTATTTGTTCCAAGAACACGCACTAAAACATATGGTGAACGATCTTTCTCTTTCTGCGTCCCCAAACAATGGAATTCTCTCCCACTACACATCCGAAATATACCGACCATACAGGCCTTCAAAACTGCACTCAAATCCATCTCTTTAAACACTACTATCCTGACTGATTCCCCCCTAATTGCCGATAAACGATGCTGTTGGTTGCTGTCCATTGCTTGACATGTTAAAGTTCTGGGGTGGGTTGTGTGAATATTCATTTGTTTTTGTTTTGTTGTTATATAGCTGTTTTTTAATTAAATAAATTTAGGTTATTTTTTAATGTCATGATTATATTTGCTAATATTTTTATGCACAGCACGGTGAGCCCAGCCCTAGGCCACTAATAATAATAATAATAGGTAATCAAAGGCTAAGCATTTGAAATTAAGTCGGAGTTTTGATTTTCTGTTGCACATAAGTACAATAGCTTGATTACATCAAATTGGTTTTTAAAAAAATAATTTTATTTTCCAGATTTTTCTTTCACAAGTGAAGTCGGAGGAGCTGACGGCTGCTGCAGCAAGAGCAGCTAGTGCAAGTCCTCCTCTGACCCCTAATCATTCTTCCATTAGTGATGATGAACTTGTTTCTCTTTCTGTTAAAGAGCTGAATCGATTGCTTAAAGGACTATCCCGAGATGAGGTGAGCAAACTCAAGCAACGAAGACGCACTCTTAAAAACAGAGGCTATGCTGCTAATTGTAGAGAAAAGCGTATTTCTCAGAAAGAAGAACTGGAAACTGAAAAAGATAAACTACGTGCTGAAGTAGACAGACTCCAGCGTGAAAATAATGTTGTTAAGATGGAGCTGAACGCCTTGAGAAACAAGTGTGAAGCCTTGGAACACTTTGCTCATCGAAATGACATTCGTGTGTTAACACATCCCCATGTTGTCTCACCCATTCATGGTTCCATTGTTGTCAAGGCAGAGCCCATGTTACCAAGTTCAACAGTTTCATAGCATGTAGGCTTTTTTTCTGCAGTCCACCCATCTTAACTCTTCCTGTCTATCCTCAGTTTTAACAAATGAACGTTTCAAAAAAACAATCAAGTGTAAAAAAAAAGACTATTCTGAATCACAAAGACATGCATCTCCGCATACATGAGGCCTTCAAGTGTAACTCATCATAGTCGCTGATATCAGTTACCTATAAACAGGGACTTCCAAACTGTTTATTTTTAGTAAAATTTTGCTGCCAATAACAACAGTTGTATATTATTTCACAAGTGCTATAAATGGTGGGTATTACTTATCAATGAAAATTTTGAAATACCTTCCTTACTGTATGACATTGACAACGACATTTCACATGTCCACCTTTCCTTACACATTTTTATCAACTCAACAAAGCCAAATGTTAATTTTGTGCTGTCATTGTTTTCCTTAGCTTTTTTTGAATAGAACTTTTGCTATAATGTTAATGCCAGGGATGGTATGATAGAGTTTTTTTTTTTTTAATTTAGAATTAGAACTTTACATTTTTAATTGCATTTGGCTAAAGGAAGAACCTGATATAATTTTTTTGTGTGATCACAAAACTACATTCTTAATACATTTATAGTCCATTAAATTTGTTATCAGTGTAAATACAAATAACATTTTGTAAATATACATGGTACAAGGAGACCTGATGTTTTTACAGAATAATAATTTATAGCTCCAATAATTATGATTCTGTATCCACTTATCATCATATTGTTCGCATTAGACCAAAATGTCCCAGATAAAATTAAAAAAAGGTTTTGTAATATTTAAACACCGGTAAATTCATTTTGAGATTCAAATAGAATTTGATTTTAAAATAACTAAATAGTTTTGAAAGAAGGAAGAGGTCGTCTTTAGAAACTATATTTATTTTCATACATAGATTTTTCCATTAAAGAATAATTCCACATTTTTAGATGAAAATTTGTATGCATGTATATACATACCCTTTACAGAAATAAACCATTAAACATTTGTAATTGAGAAAACTTACAGTTAGTAAATGATGCAATATGGTAAACATTCACTAATATCTACAGCATTAAGCTGGTAAAACTTATTTTTAAACATTAAAATTCAAGAAATGTTACTTTTAAGTAAAACTGTACATGACTTGCTTATTACATATTATATCCCGGTATGAATTTGTGTTTGATAATTTCAGTTCTGTTAGAAAAAGGAAATGTGAAATATAATTTTAAAAAAGAGCCCCATGATTATGTTTGAACAACAGCCTTACATTCTTTTAGCTGTGAGGTTAGTAGTTTTAAAAAAACAAACATTTTTTTAAATTGACATGAACTGGGGCATGATTGTTATTGTTATAGTTAATTGCTTTTAGAACATTTAACAAATTGATATAGATAAGTTAAACATCTACTTTCATTCCTTAAAAAATTTCTGTCAAATCTCTATTATCCCAAAAGATATTTATGTTAAAAACAAATTTTTTGTAAATTCTCATTTAAATTATCAGAAATAACTGAATTCGGAAAGGTATTAGAACTCAGAATGAAACTATGCTAATATGTAGATTAGTGTTTTAAAATTCTATTAAGTGAAAAATTATTTGCACTCCTTTGTTTCACTTTCAGTTGAAACAATGTTGATTTACTGTAATACTTTAATCATTTTGAAAGATTTGTCAATAATTCATATCTAATGGAATTTTAATAAAAGAAACACCATAAAATGAATCCACATTGGCCCAAACGTCACCAAAATTATGTCTTGAACTGAAAGATTTCAATGATTTAAGAAAAATTTAGTGTGAAATCTAAATGTTGTTTTTGTACCGGTATGTTGTTTTACAAATGACTCCTTGTTAAAGGACTTAATTTTATATTCAAACAGCCCTTGGTAGTTAATGGCAGAATTCGGATGTTACAGTGTTTGAAAAGTTTAGATTGTGTGATACAGGGTAAGGAAAGAGTAATCGTGTCATTAAGATAATTAAAAAAAAAAAATAAGACTTTCTTTGAATATTAATGTTAAGATCATTTAAAAACAAACCAAGGCTGGCTTGACTGGCTTTGATCGCATCCTGAAAAATCTCCATATTGATTTGACTTGGTTTTTTGTGTGTTTGATTTCTTATGACAAGGAACTGGATTGTGCAATATCCTTAAGATTGGAAAGAATAGATGTTTGATGTTTTATCATGTCATTGTGTATTTATCTCCATGTTTTTCATTGACTCCTGCTTTCTTTTAACATACCAGTGTTTAAAATAATGTCTAAATGGTTTAATAATGCCTTGCAACCAATGCTCTTGCTGAACTGATTACACCTGAACTCCATAATTATCACTTTCTTTGTATAATCAATTTTCAGTAGTTAAGGGGAATAATAGATTTTTCTTTATCATTTTTCAAATTTGGATCGAAAGAAAAATGTTTTGCTGTCAACAAGCAAACCCATGCTCTTTCAATGTGGTTTATTATCATTCTACATTGTTAGAATTTCTATGCATAATCTTAAGTTCAACACTATCTTAAAATTGTGCTTTTGCATTTCCGAATTCAGTGAAATGAGTTTTACAGCAGTGCCACTCTTTAATTCTTGTGAATCAAAAAATAAATCCTTCAAGTAAAAACTTAAATTCATGGCTGAGTGTTTAAAAAAACACATTTACCAATGAATTAAATGATAAAAGACCTTTAACTTGATTGAAATGCTTTATCACAGGAGAAAAGAAAAGGATAAAAATAAAAAGTCATTTAGTGAGTTGTCTTATTTACAATTATTGAAAGGTAGTGAGTTAATTTTTGTTTTTGTTTAGGGAATAAAAGCCAAAGATATGACATGACAGTTAACCCGATGGATGTTATTGCCTGGACTGAGTGGCACTGTTAGTATAAAACCAGTTTAAAAGGCATAAAACAACTAAGCTATTACTGCATAGAAAGTAATAGACATTATAAATGTAAAAATCCATTATAAAGTGAGTGCATTATTTTATGTCTGACATAAAAACAAGTTTTCACCATGCTCTTCATAATAAAAAAATTGTACTCAGCTTTTTCAACACTAATCACTGAAGATTGAATTCAAAACTGGTATTTTTATAATTTTATACTCGTGTCATCTAGTAATATTTCTCAAGTGAAACTGTTTCTCTAAAAGTATTACTTAACAAACATTCTATGACAAACTACATATATATCTATATATGTCAATGTGTATCTCGGTGATCAACATAGTCTGTAATTGAAGTTGTCTAGTCCTTTTTTTTTAAATTAAAAAAATCATTTGCAATGATAGTTAATCATATTTGTTATGTTAGCGCACTGAGCATGGCCAGCTATTTAAGTTTTCATCCATTTGTGGTCTGATTAATTTAATGACACATTTAATATTTAAAATTTAAACCTTTAAGAATTTGGAACAGTGTGGGCAAAGAACCTAATTCTTGAAAATATTTCTTTTAAAGAATAAAGTTTTTAAAATTCTTCATACGCATAAATAGGATTTATATTTTCACCACCAATTTCTAACATCATAAAATATTTAACCATTAAATAAAACAAATAAAAATAAACATTTGTTCATTAAAAAAAAATTGTATGACAGCTCATCTTAGATAAATTTCATGCATATTTATGTTACCTCTTTAGAATAAGACAAAACAAATATGTTTTTATTTGGCCAAAACTGCCACACCACTTCTTTCATCCTCAGTGATTTAATCAAATGAACTATTTTCATTGTTTGTATTGAACTTATCAATAAATTACCATTTCATTTATCATTTTGTAGCTAAGAGGCGCCTATCATTTACTACTGTCTTTTATTTCTTTTAGGTAAAGCTATCTTTAAAAAAATCAAAATATATTTCTATTGCTGAATAAAATTGTTGAATATGTTAGTAGAATACATTTACCTATGATAAAACAACTGTTCATTAATGTTATAGTAATAGGATTGGTTCCAACTTCCCTGGACTGAGATTGAAATTGATAGAATGCTTTCAAACTTTGTGACTTTGAGAAAAGAATGAATATGTTGTGTGACATTTACAAATTTTAGGACAAGTTCGACTGATTAAAAAAAAAATTAATGTTTTTGATCTGTATGTTTTATGTATCAAGCTTTGTGGACCGCTGTTCGGCAGTTTTGATGTTCACCATGTATGCCAACAACTAAGCCAGAAAATATGTACCAGTTAAACTTGTTAATATGCCTTGATTTTTTTTCGTTTGTGTGTGTAAAAGTATTGCGCTGTAAAATATTTCTAAAATTTGGAAATTTGTTTTTATGATGCTTTTGGTCTTGGTTACAAATACTTGTCTCAAATTATTTTAAAAAATGTAAAGTCTGCCACAGTGGGAAGGAAAGGTAATATGACTTTGCTGAAATGTTGAGTATGAATCATTCCAGGGATGCTAGATTATTATGGTTTAATGTATGTATTTTTTAAAAATCTGTTGAACACTGTATGTTCACAGAAGTTTGTAAATGATGCAATTGACTATTATATGATGATATTTTCTAAATCGAGGAGTATGAGTGGAGCAAAAGATAAATTGGGCTATAAAATCATTTAAAACCAGTCTGATAATCATGTTTGGAAGAAAATAAAGATTTTTTTTAACCACTTTAAAGGAGAATATGAGATCTGTATCATGAATCTTCATAGGGTCTAAATGTTGGAATTAACTCAATAAGATGTTCTGCTCCAGGCAATTTTCACACTTATAACTAATTATTTTCTACATGTTTCTTCATCTTTCCATTTTAAATTTGTAATTTATTTTGTTAAAGAATTTATTCTTTGTCAAAGTCAAGAGAGAGAACTGACAGCACTAAAAGTGAAAAAATAGTCTTAGCAGAAAAAGTTAATGAAGCATAACTTTATAGCAGTTTTAGACTTAAATGTTTCCCATGATTCTTTTGACTCTAATTTTAACAAATATGTATAAAGTGTGAAAATGGTGGTCTATCATAAGGGTATTGATGCACAAGTACTATAGACAAATGAGTAATATTAAGAACACGAACAATTTGATAAACCAAAATTTAAACACTTTATTAACAAAAGAGTTAAAAGTAAAAGAAATGGTAAATGGATTTGGCATACACATTTTTTATAAACTATTTTTTTGGTCAGTAAAAACTGCCCTTCTTAATTTTTTTTTCATGCTGCAAATAAATATTTGTGATTTGCTGCTTAAAGCTCAATTTAAAATATTTAGTCATTCATACAATTGTAACTTTGTAAATGTTGCACATTATCCTAGGAAACCAAAATTAGCAAAATCACCAGCTATGAATGTAGCTTTGGACCTAAAGAATATAACTGTTAATGTTAATAAAGTTTTCTCATCTAAAAATTGCTGTACTCAAGTTACTACTTGAATTTTTTATTTAAAAAAAGAATAATGTATTCTTTCTTCTTATTTTTTGGTGCCTATGTACCATTATAATTTGTTATGTCTTAAAAGAGGTGCACACATTTTGATAGGCTTGCTTTACCTTCACAAAGTTAAAATGTCACACAATACCACTCATTGAGAGGAAGTTATGTTTCAAAGCAAATCCAGTAGAGAGAGGACATTTTCATTATCAGTTGTAAAAAATACAAAAAACTTCTCTGATGTCACTTATTGAGCGCTATGTAAATAGTTATGTAATCCACATAGGCTGTATGAGGTGCTGTGTGCAGTGTCACCGCCATTTTGATCATACCCACAGTTACATTACAGATGTCATTTCTACATGCTCATACCTCACAACACATTGCCAGAATGAAAGAGACTTGTGCCCTGCCAAAATTCATCTATTCCCTATAAGGCACAGAAAGTCTATCTAAAATTGAATTTCAAATTAAGTTAGAATTTGATAAATTATTATTTAATACTATTGAAAATAAATTCTTGAAGAAAAGTTAAAGCTTTTATTTTCTTGAACTATTCCATACTATTTCAAGATTTAAAAAGAAAATAAGATGAACTTGAAGTAAAGTTATTGTCATTTTTTTAAATACTATAAGCGGAACCAACGAACATTTGTTTGCTGTTGTTTATTTTCAGATCCATTTATACTCTAAGCTTAATACATATGGGAAATGGGCTGTTATGTAATTTAATTTTTTTTTTTTTTACATTTTGAATGTTTCCTATGTGTATATATCCCTACACCCCACGAAGCTGTCAGTACAAAGAAGACACTTGTCCAATATTAATTTGCTTATCATTTCTAATCTATTTCAATATTTGGTATTGATTCAGTGTTACAGCTTAAGCTTTTCATGAGTGTTCTAAGCAGGTGCTGGGTTCAGTTTTGTTTTTAAGTTTATTATTTTTTTTTTTCAAATGTTTAAGGCTGTGAGCTAAAGTAAAAAAAATAAATTTGAAACAGATTTTAAAAAGGTTTTGGCCCATGTTAAATGTAATTTTATATGTCTTTAAATTTATGTTTGGACTTTGATATATAATGACACCTGTCAAAATGTACAGGCAAGCTGTAATTTATGCCTCATTTTAAATTTGTGATCCTGTCCAAAGTTTAAGGTTAATATTTTTTTAAAATAATAAAGCCACTTGTTTTTAATACCGGGTTTTATTTAATATAATAAATAGCAACAAAAGAAATTCAAGCATTCATTTAATGCTCAATAAATGATTTTTTGGTTTCATAATTTTTAAAAACATAATTCTAAATTGGGGGAATAGTTTGTTATGCAAATTTGTATTTACAAAATGATTCTGAATGTTAATTATTTTATGGGATAAATTGGTTATAAGTAAAGAATGTATTCTCAACATGTTAGGTAGTTGAACATGTTAAGGTTTTTTTTTTCCTATTGCTTATTTCATAGGAATACAATAAACTAGTGTATAAACACATATTAATTATTTATACAAACTCCAGGATTTTTATTCCAATGTATTACTCACAATAATATACTATTTTAATTTTCATGGGCCACTTCCTATGTTTATGTGAAGACTTATATAAATTAAAAGAAAATTATTTATTCTTATGATTTTGGCAGATGGTACATGAGGTAGCAAATGTTGTTAAAAGTCATTATCATTATCATCATTCCAGTCCGAACATTTTGCTTCATTTATTTTATCGACAATGCAGATTTTGCAATGTGAGCAAAAAGTTTTAAAATAAAATTTAAAAAATCAAACAATTATTTAAGTTTCTTTTATTCTTGTATGTTTAAAATGTTTTGTGTATTATCACAACAGCTTTCCACTGCAGCATGGCAAATAACCATATCTTTCAACTTTTTGTATACCTGTATTTTATACCAGGGGATATAATATAAAAAGGTGGACTAATGCATAAAAAACTCATAAATTATGATTTTGAAAACATCTTTTGTATACTCTACATCAGTGCTCCCATCATGGTGCATACGCCCCTCAGGGGGCAGTTTAAAGAATTATGAATTTACGTTTAAGGGGTTGTGGAGTTGGTCAAGACATCATTTTTTCTCTAAAAAATATCTGAACATTTTTGTTATGATACTGTTGCTGAACATGTAATGTAAGACTATTGCTTCACACACAGGAAAATGGAAATTGTTGATTATTATCAAACTTACAATCTAAAGAACAATGATTGAACACACCAAGAGCAGACTCAAAACAGTATTTAAAATAAAAGAAATGATTGCATTACTCTGAAAAAACAGGACAAATACACAAATGAAGGTCAAACATCTTCTTACTATTACAGAGTTTATACTAGGATAAATATTTTAAAATAAATTAATTTATTTTAGAATTGAATGAAATCTTTGTTTTAACAGGAAAGGGGTGGGGGAAGTCAAAACATTTTAGGTGATTAGTTGGGTATAGTTCAAAAAAGGTTATTAAACTTTCCCCACTTATATGGCATATATAGTTGTAATCTTAAACCTGCTAATCACCACCAAGTAGACCTAATAATTAGGCTTACCTGTACCATTCGTCCTGGTTCAGCACACACAAAAAATCAGCACCCTTATATATCTGCTCATTTTGAATTTTGTCCTGTGGATAGAGGCGATTTGCTGTGTAGGGAACCAGCTTATAATCCCAAACAGATTAATCCCAGGCCTTGTGCATTTCGTCCTGCGAAGTCTACACCATCGTAACCTTGTGACAGACGGATGCCAACAAAAAAAAAACTTGACTGAATGCCACCCATTAAAAACTGCCAAAACTGCGCCCTCAAAAAAACAAACACAAAGAGTCCCCACACCCAGGACATCAAATAATGTCTAGATCATTGTGACGTCACAGCAATAAGACACATGTCTCAAGAGTTTACACCGAACAAAAAAAAAAATTGACTGAATGCCACCCAATAAAAACGCCCAAAACAGCGCCCCCAAAAAAACAAAAAAAAAAAAAAACAACAACCGACCAAAAAAAAAAACAACAAAGTTAGCAGAAGTGCCACTTGGGGCAGACGCCCCCTTTGCCCCCCCCCCCAACCCCCTAACGTACGCCGCTGGTAGCCTACTCCGAGTGAGTCCAAGGCCTGCTGATACTGATACTACAAATAAATATAATCTTCATGAATTCCTTTTATTTTATCCCTTAGCGTGGCTCACCTTACAAAATATAATTGAGCATAAAAGTTTGTTCATTAATAATTAATATCATTTTAGATATTTATAATTATACATTGATTTTTATTATTTTTCTACCAAGACTTAAAATAAATAATTATCCCGTACCAATTCCAAAGTTACACAAAAATCGTTATTTAGTTTTGCATATGTTTCTATATTTAGTAATATGTATGGTTGTAAGACAAGTTACGGTCCATGTTATTAAAAGCAAACTCTGCAAACTGATCGGTGGTCAGTTCATCTTGTCCTGAAGTTCGAAATCATGGATGTTGCGACTATTTTGACGGAGCATTCTGCAAACATTTGTGTGGCAGCTGTTATCGTTACTATTTTGGCTTTGGTCATTTCAACGAGATATTCTGTTCGTAACTTTTTAAATATTCGTGGCACTAAATCTAAGAATGCAGAAGATGAGTGGACTAATCAAGAAAGGTCAATCAACGAAGTAACCGAGAATGACAAGGGGGGTGAAATGGATGCTAATGACGATTCAAGTAATTTCTGGTTTTATAGATTTCTTGTTTCATATATTCCTTTTTTTTGTGTGTGTTTGTTAGGCCTAAATAATCTAGACCTAGACTAAATTCAATGTCAACAAATGTACGGCACGGAATCAATCTGCGCCCTAGATCTATTCTATTCTGGAGTCAAATTGCACCTACTTTCATTGCAGATCATTGGCATTGGGCTTTTATATAAATAATTGGCAATCTCTATCTTCTGGTCAAATTTTTAATATATAATTTCGATGTGAGAAAGGGACAATATTAATCTAATGGATGAAAGGTTTAGCCTAAAGCCTTAGACCTTAAGCCTTAAGTGTAGACCTAGTAAAAGTTGTATAAATTATAAATGATAGAAAAAGAAAGAAAGTAAAGAAAGATGAAATTGATGTTTTTATAAACTATACAAGTATAAGCTTTAACTAGCCCTTTAAAATGATATGTATTATTTATGGCAGGCTTGCATGCGGCTCGCCAGCACCCACTTGGCAGCCTGCGAAGTAACGAAATAGTCATTATTATTATTATTTTCTTAATAGCTTTCGCCCCTGTCCTATTATCTTTTGATCCGCACAAGTTTTTTTATTAAGTTTCAGTATTACGACCCGCCTTACATCTTGAGTTGTGCAGGCCTGATTTATTTCAATGGACAATATTTAAAATTTCTGTCAAAGTACCTACCTTGATATGGTTGTGTTTATACAATTCTGTTACTTATTTATTTAAGATTTGAGCTCACAAATTTGAATTAATAAAAGATCAGACCAAAAAAGGGACAGGCAGATTTGCAACCTGGTTTTCTCTTGGCTATGATGCAGATGCTGTTGCACTACAGAACCGCCTTAACAATGCTTGAAATAACTATGAATGAAACCAGGCCTGCACAACTCAAAATGTAAGGCAGGCTTTAATACTTTATGAAAAACTTGTATGTGCCGAAAGAAAATAGGACGGGGGAAAGCTATTAGGAAAATAATAATAATAAAAAAGAAAATTTTTTTACTTCGCGGCCACAAAAACAATTCAAACCTATTGCATATTTAATTTTGCTTTCTTCTTTTTCATAAACTATTCAAATTTTTTTATATCTGTTTATAGACACTGGGGGAGCCATATGTTCTCCTCGTTACCCAGATCCTGTTGACTACTGTGAGCATATTCAAGGTGAAATTAAGAGAGTCCAGCAGTCAGTGGCTACGCGTACAATTGCAAAAAATCTTACAGAAGAACAACTTAATGAAGAGAGAGAAGTTCAGCGCAAGCAGTTAGCTGAGATCTTTAAACTAATGCAGGAGCAACAGGATCGATTTGGTATTGGGAGTATGGATGACATGCAGGAACAAATGAAGCTTTATGCTGTATAGATTTAGTATATATTAAACTATTATTTGAATTTTATTGTTTCATTTCACAAAAAATTTATAGAAATCCAGCTGTTTAGAACAATTGTAAATTTTTAACAGCGTACATTGTGATCTGGTGGATTTCAAATGTCTTAATTTGATTTTTGCAAGTTTTGTTTTTGGATAAAACTTAACAATTTAAAAGTTTAAAAAAAGAACAAAATGAACTAAATTATCCTCATTTAACTGTACTATGGCATTCAAGGAATCAGCTTTTTGTTGTTCATTTGATTTTTTTACCTAAGTAAAATATTCATTATGCTGATCTGAAACCAAATTGTCATACATAAAATTTGAAATGCAAAACATTATAACATAATGGTAGCTAATATTAGTGATATGTAAATGGTTTAAAAGATGTGAAATTCAATTGTTGGTGTAGACTTCTATATTAATGAATTATTTTGCTCAATGTTGTAACCATTTTGTTACTTGATATGTTATACAGAATAAATTAATATTTTAACGCAATCTGTAAAGAAATGTTAAAAAAACAACATTACCCTCAGTTTTAAATTAAGACTTTCATCACATTTAGTTTTAGAAAAAAGAATTTTGGGGGGAAAGAGCTAATTATTTTTCACCCTTTTGTCAAATAATTTCAAATGATACATTTCTAATGCTAATATTTGAAGTAAACTTTTCTGTTTTAAAAAATGCAGCTTTCCCCAAACTCTGGCCATCAATTTAAAAACTGCATCCTTTATCCTTTAAATTTTAAGTTTGCAGACTGCCATTATTCTGTTTGATTGATTTATGATGCTGTAATTCATAAAACGATATGTCATTCTTGATACAAACTAATTTTTGACGTGTACTACATCTGACTGCTTAAAGAATGCACCCTCCCACCCTTTCAAAATGCGCTGGTAATAAAAATTATGAGTTGAAATTTGTATGTGTTTAAAAGGGCTCTTAAACAGTAATTTTTAAAAGTTGTACATTTTAAGACACTATACAAGAACTGCCTCTTTAACATTTTGAAATGAAAATCTGAAGCTGTGTATGTGGGGTCCAACTTAACTGTAATTTGTTTCAGAAATTTTAGTAACTGGTTGAGCAGATAATTATGATCAACCTTTACATTATTTTAATGAAAGCTGTGCAATATTTTTGTATTGTGAAAAATTTTATGATTTATGTTAATAATTTGAGGTGCCTATTGTTGGCTAAATGTAGACCTACTATAGTGATGTAACAGTGGTAATATTTTTTTCTTGAATTGTTTGTTGTTTTGTAAAAAAAAAATATAGGTATAAAAATGCTTAAAATATATTATGTTGGAAGTTATCTTTAAGAAAGAATAACTAATACTTAATCATTTCAATAGTCAAAAAAGGACAGAAAATGGCATATTTTCACTGATATATCGCCCGTTGCTGGTCTAAAAAATCAGTTATGTGATATTTAAATTCTATTTGATCAGACTGTCTTGAAAGGATTATTTTTTTATTCATTGATTTTCTTTAATTGATTACATTTTCATTAATTTATTTTTGACCTAGATTTAACATTTTTCTGTTGAAGATTCAGTTATTTGTGAAATAAATGCATAGTTTTAAATCGGTCATAAACAAAACAAAAAAAACAATAATTTATCATAAAATTGGTGTATACAATGTTTTATTGCCGTGGAATGGTAATTGTACAGTTAAACCTCAATCAACACATGCCAGCAGGTCATTAGCCAGTCATTAAACAGTCACCTTTAAACTATATATATCCATTGCACTTATTGGCATTCCTCTGGTTTACAAAAAAAAACTGGTTTGTTATTGTAATGTGTAATGACTGTTGTACTTTTACTTAGTGTTATAGATCTGATCATCAATATATGAAATATGTCTCTGTATATTTATTATCCATACTTGCCACGATATAAATTACCGGTAATTTTCTTTTTCTACTATACCACACAAAAATAAATATGTTTTCACAACACAGTTTCTTGTCTATTATGTTGAATAATCTAATTATTGAAGTCTAGAATAAATTATACTTATACCAATTGCCTTATCATCTAATCTGGAATAGCCACCAAAAGGACATCCTAACATTGCTAAGGCATGTCTTACAGTACAGTACAGTACTGTATCCTAATTACTAATGGTTTCTCAATACTTGTAGCCCTCCTTGCATAGCCTTCAAGAGCCAATATTGCACTTGAAATTTGTTACCAAACTGGGGAAGATTGATTCCCATATGAATTGTATTGAATCATGTACTTCCAAAAATTGCTCATTCAGATGGCCTGCAAAAGCAAATCATAAAATTTCCTTTACTTTAATAAGTCAACCAGCAAACTTCATTTTGAAGCATAACATTTTCAAAATATTTACAACTTATTACTCGGATTTCAAGAAACATCTCTGTAGATTAATTTTATTCACTGCTGTAATGAAGGTAGCAGAGAGGATCACTTGACCTTTATTGACTCCCTTTAAAATTGCGTATTTTTTCAGTTTTGCTTATTATATCCCTTGAACCCAACTTTAATCTTTTACAAAATTTATGTAAAAGAAAATATTCAAAGACTGTTCATTTGGTTTAAATGCCAACTTTTGATTTTAGTAAAACCATTAGTATACAATACATATTTATATCAATAATCTCAGGTACTCTGTCTATATGTGCTCACATTTGTTGGTAATCATATCTAATGGTGACTAAACTATGAACCAACTGAACATGAATCCTACTCAGAACAACATTAATTTTAGTTATGATGAATACTTCAAAAATTGTATGCGACTTTCCAGATTCACGCAAGCAATCAGGGTTTGCTTAAGAAGCGTAGCAAAATATTCTTGATAGTCTTAGACTATTTAGAGTGATTTGTAAAATCGATTAACTTTTACTAGTGTTGTAAGTGCATGACTTACTTCATGTGTATTGGTGTTAATCCCCATGGATACTTCAGTTTGAAGTGTGGCTGGAAAATTTATTTTAAATTTGACTGATGTCCATTGCTGACTTTTATCTAATGCCAACTATCAAAACAGCATCTCATCTTTCTTTTGAATTTATCATTTTAATAAAAACTTACTCCTGACGCAAAACACATTAGAATAAATTGGCAAGACAGTAAACCAGGCATGGTAAACTGACATTTAAGTTATAAATTACCTTTGCATCCGAAAGTTACTTTACTAAATGGTGCTCTTTGCAAAATATTTCACTTAACATGGAAACACCACAGAATCACAGTTAACATTCCTCTAAAAAAGGATGCCATGTGATTGATACAATACACTGCTACATGATTTAAGGAAATAATAATCTGAAATAGTTAATTCCTTGAGAATGTTTCTCATGGTTTTAATTTGTTAAATTAACAATTTTAGTAGTGCCGCTTGACCTACATGCATTGTGGGACTCTTGTTCAGGCGTGGTTGGTATGTTTATCCTGGTCCCCTTTTTCTTTTTGAGTTGTGTTGCAATTTCTTCAATAACTGCATAATCAAAGTATCTTTTGTGGAAAAGGTTATTATGAGTCAACAAGGCTGTTTTTTATTTTAAAAATTTTGGGCATAATACATTTTTGCCTTTGATTTAATGTTATATTTAAAATCTTCAAGTCTCTGCTGCAAATATTTAGCCAGTTTTTGTCTATTAAATGCTAAATCATCCAACAATATTAGCTTGTAATTTATTCATTTTTCTTTTGCTCTTCCTAATCTACCCAATTTCACTGAATTTCAAAATATCATTATTGGCTTTTCTCCTTTAATAAAAAAGAATTGCAAGACATTTAAAAGAGTTAAAGCATTGTTGTTTATTTCAAACTAATAAGTAAAAGAACCAAATTAAAATTATTTAATAACTTTATTAGGATCTTGGGCAGTCATAAAAGTGTAAATTCTTCTTGCTTGTTCTTTCCCAATCTTGCGGTTGGTGGATATGACACTGGCACTTCTTCTTACCTGATGAAGAAAAATTTAGAAATTTTAGGAGGACATTTTTAGTTGATATTAATGAAAAACTTAACAAGACTCTAGACGTTTTGTAAAAATGATAAGACCAAAAAAAAGTCACGAATATTACTTTATTTGAATACACTGTTATGAGTCAATTTACAGATAAATTATGTTCTCTGGAAATGCATATTATGTTAGCAAAAAGATACATGATGGCTATATTGTTGAAAAGGGTGATTATTTAGTATCAGTTAATTGCTGAAATTTTGTTTAAAGGTTTCTGATTCAAGTTCAAGTGATAATGTCAATTTCAACAAAACAAGGTACACCTACATTGATATCTGCAAGCAATTGTTCAGCATTTTGACCTGTCTCATTATTATTGCACATCTGTTGAGGAACAACGAAATTTGCATACAATTTTCAGATTTTATGAGCAATACAATACTCATAGATGCAACAATTTGTTTGTGTACATAAACAATATTGTAATATAGGAATAAAAATCACAATAATTTTTGGTAATTTATTTTAAATATCCTTATAATACATATAAATATACAATTAAGATTTAGTGCCACAATGTTGCTGTAACTGTTATAAAACTTTAAAAAAATAAAATAAACCAATCTGAAACATTTTGACTTATTAATTTAGACCAGGGTGTCTAAAAAAATTTTTTTTGCTATGAACCCCTTTGCCAGTCATTTGAAGGCCATGTACCCCTTCTTAGAATAAATTTTTTTTACAAAGGGTCTATTGACAACATGATAGAACCCTTGAGTTAGAATCATTTAAGCCAAAAACAGTGACTCAGTGATTTATAAGAAATCAAGTTTAGTCTTAAAAATATAATTAAAACTGAAAAACACTTGCCCAAAAATATTTATAAAATTACCAACCTGATGTAACAAATATGGAGAAGGATAACTGCAGAGTACAGCTTCTGCCATTTCTGAGCTTAAATTTTTGAACTGCATTAGTTGGTGTTTCCATACTTTGATGAGTCCTTGGCCTTGTTTGTTAACTGAAATACCACTTACCCCCTCTTCTAGGAAGGAGAAGACATTGTCAAATCGGTCTTTCCTTAAATAAATTTAAAAAAAAGATTTAATTATAGAATTATTTTTTGAATTTTAAGTGGACAGGTTAAATGGAAATTACAAACAAACGATGACAATTCTGTTCAAAGGAGATTTTTTTTATACTTCATATTGAGGCAGTGTTGAAGAATTAATTATTTTTCTCCACTTGAAATTAATATTTAAATTAGAGTGGAGTCATTCTTTTAAAATCTCTGCAGTGAAAAAGGTGTTGTAAAAATGTGCAACTTTGTGTTTAAGTGCATTTATGACAGTCATAAAACCTTATCGCAGTTGTAAAAAGAAATATATTTTAATTAAAATACTGGACAAAAATGAATGGATGGTCTCTTGAAAATTCTCCAGTGTGGTTTTCTATGACTTTTTTTTAAAATTAGTGAAATTTTTCTTTTAAAAAAAACATTCCAGAACCCATAAAATAATTAAATTTTTTATTGATTGATTAATTTTCAAAGACAGGAATTCTGTAAATTTCAATCCTGACCTATTTATTGAGGCTGGAATAAACCTAGAAGTTGCTTATTTGTTGATACAAATATTAATTATTATAATTTTTAATGCTTAAAATAGGTATAATCATTTAAATAAAATCCTTAAAACTATAAAGAGCTCGTGGAGAGCTTATGTTAATATTTTCATGGGTGGGGGAGCTGAAAATGCAGGGGTGTAACAGGAGAAAGGGTATGAAAAGTAATATAGAGATGGCCTCAAAAATATAATAACAGAATTACAGAAGAGAAATATCATTTTCATTTACTTGGTTGATTTATCTCTGACAGCTTTAGTATAAAGTTTGATCTGGTAGGCCAAATCTTCATCTGTCTCAACATGCTGGACCACACAGCCAGTAAACAGCTGGAGCTCAACAAAGGCCTGAAATTAATTGTACAAAAACTTTAAAAAATGTTTCTTTACTCAAGAAAACTAAAACATGCAGGATCAAACTTTTTTTGTACTTCTAAACATCTTCTGCTCTCATAATTAAAATGATGGTAAAATTTATAGTTAAATTATCTTCAACTCTTAAGCTTTAAAATAATTATTTTTTAAATTACAATAACTGATTAACTATCTAAGCCACTGACAGCCATTCTGTCACTAGCCGCTGTTTAAAATGAATATGTAAACATATGTAAATGAGGAGATTTTATTAAATTAATTTTTTATTTCTGTAAGGAACCAAGGCAAAATTAGTTTATCAGCTAAAAAAAACAACTCTTGAATTTTTAAATCTAAAATGATTAGTGTAAGTTACATTCTCACCTCCTCTGCTTCTTGAAAAGATATTATCAAAACAGATTTTGTGTTTTTTTTCTGCTTGGCAGCTTGTCCAGTGACAGCTTCTCTGTGTTTCTGCTTAGCTAGTAGCTTCTTGTTTCTGTAAAACAAAAATAACTGTTGTATGATTTGTAAAATGTTAGGTTGAGATTTAAAAACTATTTAGTCCTAAATGTAATGGATTTCATCCCCATCATCAGTGGTGCTACAGCCAATGGAAGGCTTTGGTCTGCTACATCACACCCCCTTCGGCTGTACCAACCGATGACTTTTTGCATCCACTCGTAATGGACCAATAGCTGTTGCAAATCTCCTTCCACATCATCTATCAATCTCAGTTGTCATCTCACATGCTCTCAAGATCTTCTTCTTCTTTATTTTGAGGGCCCACAATCAATGAATGGATCATTCTGGATCCTATGTTTCAGAGGGGTTCGTGATGTTACTGTGCATAGGTTTCAAGGGGATACTTCACTGGTTGCAAGGGCTACTCAGCAGTGGTGTTAAGAACTGGGGGTTGGAATACAGGAGGCATGAGACGACACATGTGTCGAGTGTAGCCGCATCAACTGTTGCTTTTGGAAGCTGTTCCAGTCCCCTATTGTCTTCGACAGGAATGAGGAGCTCCTGTACTTTGTTCTTGTTTTTACCAGCCAGAACTGTCTGTCGTGGCCTCGTCGCTGTCTAGGGGGAAGATGAACGAGTTTCTGTTTGATGCCGGAGCAGTGGACCAGCCCATTTTTGATCTTGTACAACATGGTGAGCCTGGATAGTCGTCGTCGTTCTTCCAATGTTGACCAGCCCAGTGTTTCTAGCATGCTGCCAACACTTAAGGTGTTTCCGTAGCGGTTCAGGACAAAGTGTACTGCCCGTTGCTGGACCGCCTCCAACCTGTCTATGCTTTTCTGGGTAAATGGGTCCCAGACTGTAGAAGCGTACTCTAAAAGAGGCCGGACAAAGGCTTTATAGGCTTTTTCTTTCACGCTTGAGTTGCCGATCTTCAGATTGCGCCTTAGGAACCCCAGGGTCTTGTTTGCCCAGTTGCACACACTGTTAGTGTGCTCGTCCCAGAGGACCTCTCTTTGAATGATAACACCTCGGTACTTAACTGAGGAAACTTGCTCAAGAATATGGCCATGCAATTCGTAAGAGTGGTTTAGAGGGGATCTGCTTCTGGAGACTGACAGGGTCTGGCACTTGACGGGATGAAATTCCATGTCTCAGCTCATCTCCCACTCAGCTAACCGACTGAGGTCTTGTTGGAGCTGGCTCTGGTCAGAACTGTTGACGATTGTTCTATATACCGCTGTGTTGTCTGCGAACAGTCTTGCTTGAGAGGTCAGCTTCTCGGGCAGATCATTGATTATGCTAGGAACAAACAAGGGCCTACCACTGAGCCCTGGGGGACCCCTGACTTAACACAGACAAAGGAGGAGGTTTTGCCATCTACCACTACTGCCTGGCATCGGTCGCTGAGGAAGCTAGAGATCCATGTTTTGGTAGTGCCTTGAATCCCATATCTCTGCAGTTTGTGTAATAGCAAGCTATGGTTGACACGGTCAAACGCCTTTGAAAAGTCCAGCACAAGCACATCAGTTTGCTTGTTGTTCTCTAAGTCGGTCATCAATTCTTCAGCAAATTCAAGGAGTTGGGTCTCACATGATCTGTTTTCTCGAAAGCCATGCTGACAGTCATTGAGCATATTGTGTCTTTCAAGATGATTCATGACTGCGCTTACGATTATGTGCTCCAATAGTTTACATACTACGCTAGTGAGAGATACAGGGCGGTAGTTGGCAGGGTCGTAATGCTCCCCTTTTTTTTAGATTGGAGTGACATGCGCTGTTCTCCAGTCAGTTGGAACGTTGCCTGTGAGTAGCGACGATTGGAAGAGGATTGTTATTGCAGGAGCGATTTCATTGGCCAATTCTTTTAGCACTCGTGGTTTGATGTTGTCAGGACCACATGCCTTGTAGGGGTTAATGGTTTTAAGGAGTTCTCCAGCCCAGTGCAGTTTTCCTCTTTAATTTAAATTGCTGCTAACGCCTGGAACTCCATAAAGTTTATGTTTCTGATCCTTTAGAGGTCCATACACTTCTCAGAACTTCACCCTCTCAAATATTGCAATGGTTTTCAGCTCTCTTGGTGAGGGTCCATGTCTCAATTGTAGTCTCTGTATGTGACTAATGATCTAATTATGGTGATGATTGATTGCTTGTATAGCGCTTGTGTCCATGTTCAAAGTGCTTTTTGATGTCATAAAATCCATTTAAAGAAACATGTCTCGTAAATGATTGTTTTATCATTTTTAATTTCCCTCAAAGACTGTTCCATAATTTAGGCGAGATAGCTTCAAAAGAGTGCACTCCGAATGACTTCTTTCTGTGCCCATCCACACTGGGAACTCTTGGTAGGGACTGTGATGAAGAGCTGTTTAAGGCTACATGTTTGGAAATCAGTTCTTTAAGATAGGTGCAGAGCCTGGTAATTTTTTTTTATTTCTACAGAGTGTGCTGCCACCTAGCATAATTTTATGCTAAAATATGTACAGTTGCCTGCTGCTTTCTCTTCCTTAATCCAAGTCCTTATTTCATTTTGCTCACTTATAGGTACATGCGTCTTAAATTTGTGATTCTACATTTTGATGCTATCCTTATTTGTATGCCTTTAACATGAGAAAACTTTATGCATTCATTAAATATTTATTATGCTCCTAATATTTTAACATTTCATCATAAATAAAATAATTTTACATTTTAAAAAAAAGCACACAGTACCTGAAATATTTTTCTAAACCCACAATTAGAACAGTTAAATTCTGATTGGGTAAAGTTGCTTGTACTGAGTGAACCCATTCTGTCAATGTCAGCTCATCAACAGCACTGCCTTTTTTATGCTAGTATAATAAAAGAAATTATTTTAATTATGGGATTGGAATCAGCTAGCTGGGGCATATTTTTCAAAAGGGAAACAATTTGAAAAAAGAAATAATAGACAGTTTAAAAAAAATATCTTAGTCTTGCTGCTAGTGAAATTTACCTGGACATATGCATTTATCATTTGAAGAGCATCTTCAGAGCTAAGAACTGCTATTACTTCATTTCCAATGTCCTCACAAGCAGAAGCCTAAAGATGAAAAAATATTAAAAAAGTACCATACTAAATTATGTGCTGAAAAAAAAATTGTACAATGTAATAAGAAACATTTGAATCAATAAAGAATCTTATATTATCAATAATTTTTAAAAAATGAATTTAATACTAATATCAGTGTCTAAAACAATGGCACATCAAATTATATTCATGCATCTAATTTGGAAGCTTGAGATCTCTGGATTAAGACAAGTCATGGGTATAAAATCTATTAAATGAGCTACATCGTTTGAGGATTTTATAATTGTCCATTTAACTATCTGTAATTCAAAATGCATGTTGAAATCCATTTAATTATATCTTGACACTGACTGGTGTTTTGAGTGATGGCACCCATGAAATGGTCCGTTCAACTCGTTGTGGAACAAATTCACAAAGCAGACCAATCTCTGTGCAAGCCTTTGTTATCAACTCTTTCTGTTTGTCTATAGGTGCAACAGCTGGATCTACAAAAACAGTCAACATCTGAGGAATACATTTTAAGTTAGAGTTAGAGCAAAGTTTAGTAAAAAAAAAAAAAAAAGATATCTTTATAAAAAATGGCAGCTAGATTTTCAGATACCAACAGTATACAGCAGTGCCGCCCAACCCGCGGCCAGAGGTGATTTTAATGGCCTACCACAGCTAAAAAACAGCCAACATCTGAGAAATACATTTTAAGTTAGAGTTAAAGCAAAGTTTAGAAAAAAAAAAAAAAAAAAGATATCTTTATAAAAAATGGCAGCTAGATTTTCAGATACCAACAGTATACAGCAGTGCCGCCCAACCCGCGGCCAGAGGTGATTTTAATGGCCTACCACAGCTTGAGAAATTATTATGATGGGAGTGAAAAATAAAACATTTTAAGGTGAAAACATTTTCAAACCATTTACGTTAATTTAGTTTTGTTTGGAAATCGCATAAGAGCACAGGAGAAATTGTAGTTGTAACATGGAAAAGAGGGAGGTCACAAAAGCTAAGGAGTCAAATGGCTTGACAGATAGCAGTAATGTTAAGCAAATCTGCAGAGCAACCATTTGGGAACCAAAGTGACACAAAATCGGATACTATCTTCTCCTTTCTGTTGCTTGTACAGGGGTGGCGTTGCAGGGTATCGGGTATAATTACTAACGTCATTCGGAAGATGAATAGAGAAACCAAAAGTAACTTGTATGTAGCTATTTGGTCATTGTGAAAATGTCCATGCTCCCACCAATGGGACAAAGTTAGATAAAATAGATAGGTGAGCACAGTGAGTTAACTACTGCCAGGAAATCTATGGGTCAGAGTAATTCGAGATGGGAGCAGGGATACTAAAGTGTTACTGCCTATGGTGGGTAGTGTAAACCATTTATGGCACATTGTTATTTAAACAGATAGTCTAGTGAGATTTGGGAGAGTGCGTCTCTAGTCTGCATTGTTGGGGACAAGTATCTGGTAATCAGAGATCAGAGTATAAGTAGAAAGTAGGATACACGCTGTGTTTGTTTGTAGTTAGTGCAATTCAGTCAGGTTTGAATTGTGAGAGACAATAGGATCAATTCTTGAAAGTATTTTTTGTAAAAAAACATAAGAAGACGTGGCCAAAAAAATTCTGGATGACATCATGTTTATTATGATGAAGTTCCACAACTATGGAAATGTTTTAAAAAAATGGTGAATATGTTTTTGAAAGAACCTACATCAGTGTTGCTGGATTCTTTGTTAGGAACAACATCAAAAAAACGTAACGCTCTGACTAGTGAAAATTTAGAAAATCTTAAGAGGGCAGGTGCTACTGATAACTACCTCAAATTAAGAAAAATGCAAGTAAAATTCAAAGCAAAACATATCATTATAAGGGCTACAGTTTTTATTAGCTTTATTTATATTCTTGATGAGCCGATAATGCTCTTGGATATATGAATCTTTATGCATAATGTAAGAAGTATTAACAGCACGAATACTTCTCTTTTCGGGTGTCATTTGTGGCCCTCAGGTTCCCAGAAAAATTTTTTTTGTCCCATATAGTAAAAAGGGTTGTACAGCACAGGTCTACAGATATACAGAGGGGGGGCTGCCAGAAGAATAGTGGCCATGAGCCCACAATTTCTTTGGATATTATAATAGTAGAGGCCTAATCAAGCAATAAAAATAATTAATATATTAAGTAGGAAACATGAATAAAATTTAAGTAGGTTTTTAGGGCTTATGCCAAGGAGGACATTCTAATCTCAGAGTTATGCCATGGTTATACACAGTCAGCTGCTTCTAATCTAATGTGCTCTGAGGAACAGAACATTTCAGTCATAATTATACATTATGGATGGTTATTATTGTGCTAAATATTTTAAATGATGGTGGCTAAGTAAGTATTAGTAATTATATAGTACATTTAAAATAACTCTATATTCTATATTAATAATAATTAATTAAATACAACTAAGTCCGCTTAATGATGGTGGCTAAATTTAAGTAGGTCTATTTTAAAATAACGAAGTGGTTATGCGCAGCCGACTGCGTATAACCCTGAGAGTTATATGCAGTCGGCTGGGAATAACTCTCGGGGTTATGCGCAGCCGACTGCGTATAACGCTTCCCTTAAAATAAATCTACAATATTATCTGTATTATTAAATTATAAATAATAATTAAATGCTACTAAGCCTACTACTACTCAGCTACTAGTAACACTTGTCTACTAAAGTAGGTCTAGAAATAGAGGAATTAGAAGCATCAATCTTCAATGGCAATCAATGGTGTTTGCAGGTACTTGGATAAATCAGTTTTTTGCTAGTGTCATTTCCTTGCAGAGTTACCTGCCCCTTTTCAATTTTTTGTCCACTTCAAAATGTAAACATTGCATATGTGTTTGAAAAAATGTGGTTTTCTGTCATTTCTTTGTTAAATGGTTTGTGTGATATATCATTTTAAAGAGAATTGGATCCCAAACAATACTGAGTCTTCCAATTTTTAATCAAGAATTTCTTTGAAAAAATATATTAAGTTAAAATTAAGCTAAGTCTACTATTTTATTTCTCATAAAAACTCCACTAGACGCGCTTTTCATGATAACCACTGTTTAGAGCATCTAAATATCTACAAGAATGGGAAAATTAAAATTCCCCAACCTACCCCAACAGTTTTATTAAATTTTCTAAATAGTCACCACATGGGTGTTTTCCTCCCTGTATACCATTTTAAGATGGCCGAATCCACCTCAGCAAATTATTTTTAAATCTTAAGTAATCTGATTAATAAACAATGTTAAAAGCACTATTTTAAATTATTTTAGGTTACTATTATTAACTAGGAAGTCATATAAATAGATATTTAACTATATTTCTTTATTTACATAGTACATTTTCAACTCCTATTAATAGGCGTTTGGTCTAAGCCACCTGACACATTTTTAGCATGGAAAAATATATTTTATCTTCATAATAGATTTAAAAGTAAGATTTGTTTAGTATTTAGATGAATTGATATTTTGAAATGCTTGGCTTCATACACAAAAAATATTTTGTTTTCTTTTATTTCAGTTTAAAGGTCTATCAAATGACATGACATAATTTTAATCCTATTTGCAATTTTTAGGCAATCGTTGAAGCAGCACAATTCTTTTTAATTGTAGGGCTCCAATGAAAAACTAATGCTACTCTTAGCAAAAAGAATATAGAATTGAAAGACAACCCTTATGCAAGAAAAACTCGTACTATAATCTGAATATTGTACATTTGGGCAATCCTCCGAAGTCCGGTCCCAAATTATTTAGTATGAAAAAACTGCAATGCACAGTGTGTATTGTTAGAAAACAGCAGATATGTCAGTCATAGCTTTTGTAAATAACTGTAACTTTACAAATCAGTCAGTAAATACTAAATGTTGTCATTGGCACATAGCATTTGCTAATACCAGCCGAAAACGTTCTGCTGGTGACTGTTGCGCCACTGAAAGGCCCCCAAGTAGCTGGCAAACAGATCGCGACTAGCGGGCCTACCACTCTGATAGCGGAGTTTACGTTTTGCTTGCATCCAAAGTCCTTCAATAGTGTGAATTTCCTGGTCTACTGGATCAACAAATTTACGCTCGTGCACAATGACAGCGTGAGCATAAATCCTGTTGTTGAGCTGACCGACATTTTGATATCCTCGCCAAGCGTCCGTGACGGTAGTTGTTCCTGGTAACACATGATTAGTGATAATGCGCATCTGGACGGCCAACAACCTCCATCTAACATCGTCCACTAACGCAAACATGAGTTTCAAAACAGAATGATGCCCAAGACTTTTAAGTAAGGATTAATCATTGGAAATAATTTGGGACCGGACTTCGGAGGATTGCCTACATTTGATATCGGAGATATAAAATAAATTAAATATTTTAAGGGACACATGAGTTTACCCTTCCATATGCTACTTATTATTGTTCCCCTTTTCAATACCAACAATTTGATATAGGCCTACATGACCCTTCGTTATGGAGAATATTGTTCATATGTGTTCATATTCAAATATGACATATTGAAATTTTACCGCCATTTCGAATATTAATGTGCTCATCTTGCGTACCGTAAAATTTATTATATGACGCCTGCTTGGATAATGTTATGACGATCACGGATATATAAATTATAATATATGGTTTGTTAATGTTATCTTCATTAATTCCTTAAATTTAAATAACTTCAAATTACTGCTCTTTTTTAACATCTCTCTCAACTCTCTGCCCAGTTTTTATTTTAGTCACTTTAATATTTTCCTATGCCTATATGTCTCAATTAACAGAGTTATCCCAAAATAATTCACGAAAAAAATCTTAACTTTCTTTAGAATCAACCTACAAACATAAATTTGGTATCAATGAATTGCATTTTTCAGGCACTATCTAACCAACTAGCTCTTAAAGCTATAACTATAACTTCATTGTGAAAATTTTACCCAAGTACTGTCAGTGTTTGAGTGTGAGTGGTCTGAGTCTGGTAATAGAGTATAACTATAATAGAGTCCAGTTAACTGAGTATTCTTGATTCTTACTATTCCAGTAATATTCCCTACTTAATGAGTCCTGAGTATCATTATCACACAGTATCAGAATCACAACACTACAGCACAGTATGCACTGCCATGCAGCTGAGACAGTAGATACTAACTAACTAAGAGACTTATAGGGCAGTTTAAAAAAATTAAAAATCATCGCCGTCCCCTATCGGTATCGCCGGCTATGGCGCCGCTATGGCCTATGCCTATCGCAATTTATTTGTGATCAGCATATTTAAATTAAGGCAAAGTCCAAAGGCGGCATATTAATTTATAGGTAACCTTCTAGAAATAAATTATAAAATATAACCACTCAGGCTTCGCTTCTCCTCTGTTTCAGTGGTCAGAGCAAAGTAAATAAATTGATTTTGAGTCATTTAAATTTCAAGGCCACACACTTTCGCTTTCTTTTGTGTAGATTATTTTTGAGAGTAGTCTTTTCTTTTTTTCTATCTTCCGGTTGCTCACTGTTTACAATTTACAGTTTTCCCAAACATAAAATATTTTCACATTATACTGCATCAAATATAACATTAACATGGCCATGATAAAACCACTAGAAGCCTGTGTGGTTTTAACCATGATTTTTCACTTGCTGATGTGCCCGTTCACAAAGGTTGAGGAAAGCTTCAACATACAAGCTATTCATGACATTATCAACTATGGTTTTGATGTAGAAAAGGTGGCTGGTTGATTGATAAATCTGTAACTGTTACTCACTCACTGTTAGGGTTACTGTTAGCGTTTTAAAAAGAAGTTAAGCCTAACTCCCTGATCCCTGGCCTTAGTGAATGACTACTGACACATCATGATTATTGTCTCAGTAGTAGTACTACCAGTGTCAGTACAAGGGATGTCTTTACTCTTTATAGTGGTTGAGCTGGGCAATGTAGGCCTAATTGACGTGTGTAATGCACTGTGCCCCCATCATGACCATAACTGTTTAGCTATGTATATGTAAGAAATTAAACATTGACATGTATGCATTTTAATTTTAGGCCCAGGGGTGGGCAGTACCATGGGTTAAGAGAAGACTTAAGATATCACTGGTCGGTAAATGTGAAGAGATAGCACTGCGTTTGCCGCGACCCGCGAACTTATGTCCTAAATCTATCCCTAAACCTAACCTGAACCCTAAACTTATCCCTAACCTGGGTTTTGACACTATCGGAACCATGGTTTTGACCCTTGAGAAAGTAACTAAGCTGATGTCCTGTCCGTTCGTTCACCATACAAATACGCTTCAGTAAATTAAAACTATATTAAAACATTACTAAAATTTTTTTGCCCCCCCCCCTGGATTTCTGCGGGCGCCCATGTATGATATATAAAGTAAGATTGTCTTCACTACAGGGTTGCCAAATAAAAATTTAAATTTTGTGTATTCTGTCCCCAAATTTTTATGGACAAACATAATTTCTTTACAGAAACATTCTAAACAATCTAAACTTGTTAAAACTATAAAGCAAACTTTTGTTTCAAATTGCCATATGACTATCTCTCTACAACTCCAGGATCCTAAATCATATGACCATTAGTACAGGGCTTGAGCTTATTGTATGTAGTTAGCTTATTTAAATTATTATATGGCATTCTCATGTGTTGAATTCTCCTGATTATGATCATATACTTTTAAAGCAAGCGTGAAGACATCACAAACACATTCTGCTTCACTTCACAGATTTTTTTTTTTCAATGTCTAATTTTTACTGACACATAAAGTTCTTTCAGGTTTTTGTTGTACAGTTAATTTAAATTTTACAATAAAATAAAATGTGGTAAGAGGATGGGCTTGTAATAATGAGTTATAAATACAATACTACATGTATTTGAACCAATGGATTTGTTGTTTTTTTCTACTGCTACATTTAGAGGTGGAGACAAAATTTAAAGTTGGTTTGTTACATCATACAGTTATCCTTTTTATGATACTGTTTTAAACATTAGGTCAAGACATTTACATGAAAACAGAATTAGAAGAATTCAAATACAGTACTAGCTTTGTTCTTTTTTGAAAATTGGGCATGACTCAAATTTTGTGCATGGTCATTACAAATAAGGACAGATAGATCCTTAGTAATCCTATATTTGGAGTGCATTAACACCCCACCCCACCCACCCCCACCCATCCCACCCCCTAACCACTAATTTTTCAAAACTTTATATCATGAAACCAATTAATTTCAACCAAACTAAAAGATTGGACATGAAAGTGAAAGTAAAAAAGACACATGCAGAAAAGAAATCAACACCCAAAGGATAAGATAAGTTACTTACATTTTTTTTTAAAATCATCAAACCCATGCAGTAAAATAACATTTTCATTTCCTTCAGTTTGATCACCTAGAGTTTCCAGGTGTTGTTCCTCGAAGCTTCCTTGGACCTCTAGCTGTTGCTGCCGTAGCTTCACCATTTGTGATCTTGAGTAATCTTACAGGGGCCAGTAAACTAGCCCAACAGTACATAGGCAAGTAAACATAAAATGGCATAGGACAGTGGTTGGAAAACTCATTAGTCAAAAGAGCCAAAAATCAGCAGCAGGACGATTAAATTTCTTTGAGAGCCAAATTTCTTTTGAAGAACCTGTCAAGAACCATGTTTTTCAGATTCAAAACCGATTTGTGGCTCACTGGCCGAGCCGCACTCAAGTCGCTAAAGAACCGCATGCTGGCCGCGACTTGCTGACCACTGGCATGGGATATTAAAAGTTAAAATATAACAGGGGGACCCTGCATTACAATGGTAGCATGTCAACCTCATAACCAATCAACTCAACAGCCCTCAGAGGCTGATATTCATGGTGATGAGGAAATCCCCTAGTAAAAATATTCTCCGCCTATGAAGACTGAAGGCAGCTGTCAACATGATGTACGATAATAACTGAAGAAATAAATACATTTTAGAATAGAATTACCACTCAAAAATCCACAATATAACTCAAATACAATAGGAAGAAGTAAACAATTTATCTCTTTACATTATTTGGGAGAACTATAGAAATGTTCCTCAACCATTTTTTACTTTTTAACATTTATTTCCAGTAAGAGGAACAATTGGATTGGCTACAGCTGTATCATTCATAATTTTCTGTAGAGCTGTTGAATCTGGTTTTGGAGGCAGTGTTAAAAATTGGCTGCTGCTTATCACAATTACTCAATTCCACTTCATGTTTTACATGTCAAGACCTTTGCCAAATGTATTTGCTTTGATTCTAGGTAAGTTTTTCTTTTTTGGTCAAAATTTTTAAAAATTATCATAAAATACTTTGCTTGTAAAACTGTTCAGTATTTTCAAAAAAAAATTCAACAACATTAAGTTCTATTAACTAGGGTCAGTGATAGATCCCTTGATAGAATTTCAGGGATCCATGGATAGGAAAACATTACAACTAGGGAAAATATTCCCTCTACTATTACATGACTTGGCTACTCTGTGCTGGTATTTCTTATGTATTCTTAAGGCAACTTGTAGTTTTCCAGGTGTGATTAGGTACAATAGCTCAATATTGTATAAATATGCTGCAGTTGTCTGTGTCCACAAACTTTTAAAAGTCTGAAATTTTATGACACAAGTAAATGAACTTCTATGATGCTCACTTCTGTCACCTGCAGCTGACAAAATTTTAAATAAGGATTGGTTTATGGGACACATAATTGTATTTTATGAATTAGGATTACAATTTATGTTTTGAACAGTTTGATTAAACCTTTCATTTTGTCTATAAATAAACCTACAGTACTGCTGGCACTCTCCAGCTGGCTATATCAGAAACACAAAATGTTTATTTGGCTTTCTGGAGCATCCATCATCATCTTTAGATTTGACCTGGTCATGTTCCTGGGCCTGATTGTCTGCAGTGAGCTTGTTGCTGGGAGACTCAGTGTTATCAAGTTCATTGTTACAACTATTTTGGCTGGAATTTGTTTATTGGGTGAGGCATTCACTTGTGTACATTTTTATATTGTAATGCTGTAAATAAATGTTAGTTACATTTCAGTTGGGCAAAGTTTTCTCCTTGAGGCCCACATGACATGTGCAAGGTCTGTGGGTGGGTTACATGTGACAAAATATGTCTAAATTTGCTTAAATATTATTTTCATTATGTATTTACTAGTCATATAACTATGTTTAATATTATTTTTAGTTCAACATAGCGTTGCATTAACCACTTCTCTCCCCCTTTTTTGTATTCACATTGAAATCACTGATTAAATGTGTAGCACCATTCCTTATTTTTAAACCACCCTACCCTTGATTGGGAAAAGGTTGTTTAATTCCGAATACATTCTAATTTATTATAAAGAATGCTATCAGGTGATTCAATATCTAGAATTTCTTTTTTGGAAGGTTCTAACTTACTGTCTATATATATAATCCAGCAGCTTTCCTAGATGGGAGAGATATTTGCTAATTTTCTTAGACTTGAGACATATTAATTGGAGCCTTACACAATTGAACTCTTTGTGTGTGTGTATGTTAGTATTTGTATCTTTCAAGGCTTATACTGTTTCACTTGCTGTGCTGAAAGTTCATATAGTTTTTATTTCTATATAATTGATTTTGAATTTTTAAAAATAAATTTACTATTACAATTAAATTGAATATTGTTAATATCACCAGCTTTGGTATAGTTTTTCTTTGTGTTCTGGCTTTCAGTCCATTGTGACGTTAGTGTTCATTTAACGAGCCAAAGCAGATTAAATTTACAAAAACAATACAACAGTATTTAACAATATACTTGGTACTAAGTCCACAAAATTGACATCTTTGCCTTTTGGTTCAAGTTTACTCACCCCTGGTTTTAATGGATAATTTTGCTCTATGCATTTCTGATATTTACTTGTAAAAATCACATAATAATAAATGGGCACAGTTTCATTTTAGACTTGTGATCTTGTGGTAAGGTATGCTATTGGCAGTTCTTGATGACAACTTACTCTCTGCCTCTTATCACAGGTTTAACCATGACGGTGGACTCTTACTTTTGGCAGCGTTGGTTGTGGCCTGAAGGGGAGGTTATGTGGTTCAATGTGGTGCTCAACAAGAGCTCTGACTGGGGCGTATCCTTTTCTTAATCCTCAAAAATCTATTTCCAGAGATTTTTACATTTATTATTTCATTCGTTGTTTTGCATTCAAACTGTGGGAATTATTTTCTGTAAATTGGTGTTTCAGATGATAATTCAGGCTTCAGCATTTATTTACTTTACAACTGGCAGCAATTAAACTGTAACTAAATTTGTTTAAGATTAAAAAATTGCTCAAATTCAAGTAAATTATGTAGATTATTATTTAAAGATTATCAATTTCTTGAATGTTTGACCTCGTTAATCTAAGCCAGACTTCACCATTTCTCTGGTACTTTTACTCTGTCCTGCCCCGAGCACTGTCACTGACCCTTGTTCTCGTACCAGTTGGTGTGTACCTCATGCGTCATGTGACAGTCTTGTTATTCCCTGCCATCGGGTACATCCTGCTGTTTTCCTTGCTGCCGCATAAAGAGCTGAGGTTCATCATCTACACGTTTCCTGTGTTTAACACCGTGGCAGCCTGCGCCATGTCAGCTTTGTGAGTGATAAGCTATTTGTAGATGTCACTGTGGTTGTTTGTAGATGTCACTGTGGTTGTTTGTAGATGTCACTGTGGTAGTTTGTTGATGTCACTTTGGTTGTTTGTTGATGTCACTGTGGTTGTTTGTTGATGTCACTTTGGTTGTTTGTTGATGTCACTGTGGTTGTTTGTTGATGTCACTGTGGTTGTTTGTTGATGTCACTTTGGTTGTTTGTTGATGTCACTTTGTGGTTGTTTGTTTTTGTCACTGTGGTTGTTTGTTGATGTCACTGTGTTGTTTGTAGATGTCACTGTGGTTGTTTGTAGATGTCACTGTTGTTGTTTGTTGATGTCACTTTGGTTGTTTGTTGATGCCACTTTGGTTGTTTGTTGATGTCACTTTGTTTGTTTGTTGATGTCACTTTGGTTGTTTGTTAATGTCACTGTGCCTGTTTGCCAAGGGGAAAACATTTCAACAACAAAAATTTGGAGATTTTTTTTCTGCATCACTTAAAAAAACATCATGTAAATGTAAGATGACAAACATTTTAAAAAATTGTTGCTCGATTTTGCTCTTGTCATTGAATTTGATTTTTAAATTGTATTGCTAAATAAACCTCGGAGCCTTTTGAAATGTCTCCCTCCAAAATGTATGAAGTGTTCATTGGTTCCCCTTTCTTGTTAGTGGCACCTAGTATGTAGGCGTTGTAGCTGCAGTAAGATGCATTGGAGGTGGCGGCCAGTAAAGTGCATCATGTAAATAGGAACTGTTCTCTCCTGTCTCGGTTGTTCCACTTCTTCTTAAATATTTTTCATTCCTCATGCAAACAGGGTAGATGAACTCTCTTTATTTTTCCATGTTTATTTTCTAGGTGTTGGATTTTGTATGACATATCTCTCCAATATCAGTTGCTGGTGACACTGTCATGAGAATATTACTAGCTTGGATCAACTTAAATTTCTAAATATGACCATTATAGTTGTAGTGTCCAGTACTCACGTCCAGCTCTTATAACTTGAGTAGTCATTTTTAGTTGTGGTAAGCATGGCAAAGTTTTCTTCTGTTGATTTTTCCCATTGATCTTTATAGGTGGAAAAACAAGGATAAATCTTTGCTAAAAAAGCTTGGGGCCATGGCAGCGTTGTGCTTACTGCTGGGCAACGCTGTCGTCACGTCTGGATTCCTCTACATAGCACACCACAACTACCCGGGCGGGACGGCCATCAAAGTCTTGCATCAGCTTGAGCACGACACGTCAGGTGCTCTGTTCATTTTATTGAATTTATATAATCACTTGCCCACCTTTGCCCCAGGAAATATATTTAATGTTTCATTACATGGTTATTGAATTCATATAGTCACTTGCCCACCTTTGCCCCAGGAAATATATTAATGTTTCATTACATGGTTATTGAATTCATATAGTGACTTGCCCACCTTTGCCCAGGAAATATATTTAATGTTTCATTACATGGTTATTGAATTCATATAGTCACTTGCCCACCTTTGCCCAGGAAATATATTTAATGCTTCATTCTATGGTTATTGAATTCATATAGTCACTTGCCCACCTTTGCCCAGGAAATATATTTAATGCTTCATTCTATGGTTATTGAATTCATATAGTCACTTGCCAACCTTTGCCCCAGGAAATATATTTAATGTTTCATTACATGGTTATTGAATTCATATAGTGACTTGCCCACCTTTGCCCCAGGAAATATATTAATGTTTCATTACATGGTTATTGAATTCATATAGTGACTTGCCCACCTTTGCCTCAGGAAATATATTAATGTTTCATTACATGGTTATTGAATTCATATAGTGACTTGCCCACCTTTGCCCCAGGAAATATATTAATGTTTCATTACATGGTTATTGAATTCATATAGTGACTTGCCCACCTTTGCCCCAGGAAATATATTAATGTTTCATTACATGGTTATTGAATTCTTTGCCCCAGGAAATATATTAATGTTTCATTACATGGTTATTGAATTCATATAGTCACTTGCCCACCTTTGCCCCAGGAAATATATTAATGTTTCATTACATGGTTATTGAATTCATATAGTGACTTGCCCACCTTTGCCCAGGAAATATATTTAATGCTTCATTCTATGGTTATTGAATTCATATAGTCACTTGCCCACCTTTGCCCAGGAAATATATTTAATGCTTCATTCTATGGTTATTGAATTCATATAGTCACTTGCCCACCTTTGCCCAGGAAATATATTTAATGCTTCATTCTATGGTTATTGAATTCATATAGTCACTTGCCCACCTTTGCCCAGGAAATATATTTAATGCTTCATTCTATGGTTATTGAATTCATATAGTCACTTGCCCACCTTTGCCCAGGAAATATATTTAATGCTTCATTCTATGGTTATTGAATTCATATAGTCACTTGCCCACCTTTGCCCAGGAAATATATTTAATGCTTCATTCTATGGTTATTGAATTCATATAGTCACTTGCCCACCTTTGCCCAGGAAATATATTTAATGCTTCATTCTATGGTTATTGAATTCATATAGTCACTTGCCCACCTTTGCCCAGGAAATATATTTAATGCTTCATTCTATGGTTATTGAATTCATATAGTCACTTGCCCACCTTTGCCCAGGAAATATATTTAATGCTTCATTCTATGGTTATTGAATTCATATAGTCACTTGCCCACCTTTGCCCAGGAAATATATTTAATGCTTCATTCTATGGTTATTGAATTCATATAGTCACTTGCCCACCTTTGCCCAGGAAATATATTTAATGCTTCATTCTATGGTTATTGAATTCATATAGTCACTTGCCCACCTTTGCCCAGGAAATATATTTAATGTTTCATTCTATGGTTATTGAATTCAGCAACAAGGAAATCAAAGGTTTGTGTTGTGGTGCGTATGTAAACATATTAATACTAGTATTAAAGCCCGTTTAGGCCAGGTTCTGCTGTGTCTGTTAATATAGGGCAGTGTTTAATACTCAACCTTACTTATTTTTACTTTTTACAATTAATTAATTACACTTCAACATCAGCACTTCATCACAGACCCCAACTTGACACACCAGGTTCCAGAAGCCAAACAAAGTAACTGTGAAAAAAAAAGTTAAGTTTTGACTTATGGCATCAGAAGATTTTGTGCCATCCTAGGGCATTGTCATTAAAATAAGTTTGATATGTGTGCCCGTGATTTCAGAGCTGATTATAGATAGACGTTTGAAAAAATCTGGGATGCCAAGTATAATTCTGTGAGTTTGAGCTTGTATGATAGAGTGCTACCAGTGTGTTTGAGACTGTATCATAGAGTGCTACCAGTGTGTTTGAGAATGTATCATAGAGTGCTACCAGTGTATTTGAGCTTGTATGATAGAGTGCTACCAGTGTGTTTGAGCTTGTATGATGTGTGTTTGAGATTGTATCATAAAGTGCTACCAGTGTGTTTGAGACTGTATCATAGATTGTTACCAGTGTGTTTGAGACTGTATCATAGAGTGCTACCAGTGTGTTTGAGATTGTATCATGGAGTGCTACCAGTGAGTTTGAGATTGTATCATAGAGTGCTACCAGTGTGTTTGAGATTGTATCATAGAGGGCTACCAGTGTGTTTCATGTATCATGTATCATGATTGTATCATGATGTGTATAATTTTACATGTAGGTAAATTTTCAAAACTGACTTTCTTTGTCTTCAGTTTTCTAATTAATGTGTCTGTATTGATTGATTTGTGTTTGATCAGATGTGCATGTCTGATTGATCATGTAATTGATTTGTGTTTGATCAGATGTGCATGCCCACATTGATCTTGTAATTGATTTGTGTTTGATCAGATGTGCATGCCCACATTGATCTTGTCATTGATTTGTGTTTGATCAGATGTGCATGCCCACATTGATTTTGTCATTGATTTGTGTTTGATCAGATGTGCATGCCCACATTGATCATGTCATTGATTTGTGTTTGATCAGATGTGCATATCTGATTGATCGTGTTATTGATTTGTGTTTGATCAGATGTGCATGTCCACATTGATCATGTCATTGATTTGTGTTTGATGAGATGTGCATGTCTGATTGATTGTGTTATTGATTTGTGTTTGATCAGATGTGCATGCCCACATTGATCATGTCATTGATTTGTGTTTGATCAGATGTGCATGTCCACATTGATCATGTCATTGATTTGTGTTTGATGAGATGTGCATGTCTGATTGATTGTGTTATTGATTTGTGTTTGATCAGATGTGCATGCCCACATTGATCATGTCATTGATTTGTGTTTGATCAGATGTGCATGTCTGATTGATCGTGTTATTGATTTGTGTTTGATCAGATGTGCATGTCTGATTGATCGTGTTATTGATTTGTGTTTGATCAGATGTGCATGTCCACATTGATGTGTATACAGCACAGACGGGTGTCACTAGGTTTACCCAGCTCAGGCAGGACTGGATGTGAGTAAACTCATCTCTCAATGTTTCACAGTAATAACATGGGAATTATTTACATTCATTCCTAGTTTTGGGGTGGCATTTAGAATTAAGTTTCTTTGTATTTAAAAATAGACATCAGTATGTTTGTATTTAAAAATAGACATCTGTACATTTGTATTTCAAAAAACTCTCCTCCAGTCTCACCTGTATATTTCAAAGTGCTCTCCTCCAGACTTGCCAGTATATTTCAAAGAGTTCTCCTCCAGGCTCACCTGTATATTTCAAAGTGCTCTCCTCCAGTCTCACCTGTATATTTCAAAATGCTCTCATCCAGTCTCACCATCATATTTAAAAAAACTCTCCTCCAGTCTCACCTGTATATTTCAAAGTGCTCTCCTCCAGTCTCACCTGTATATTTCAAAGTGCTCTCCTCCAGTCTCACCTGTATATTTCAAAGTGCTCTCATCCAGTCTCACCATCATATTTCAAAAAACTATCCTCCAGTCTCACCTGTGTATTTCAAAGTGCTCTCATCCAGGCTCACCTGTATATTTCAAAGTGCTCTCATCCAAGTTCACCTGTATATTTCAAAGTGCTCTCATCCAGGCTCACCTGTGTATTTCAAAGTACTCTCATCCAGGCTCACCTGTATATTTCAATGTGCTCTCATCCAAGCTCACCTGTATATTTCAAAGTGTTCTCATCCAGGCTCACCTGTATATTTCAAAGTGCTCTTCACCAGGCTCACCTGTATATTTTAAAGTGCTCTCCTCCAGGCTTACCTGTATATTTCAATGTGCTCTCCTCCAGTCTCACCTGTATATTTCAAAGTGCTCTCCTCCAGGCTCACCTGTATATTTCAATGTGCTCTCAATCCAGGCTCACGAGCATTTATCAAAGTGCTCTCCCCCAGGCTTGCCTGCATATTTCAAATTGCTCCTTATTCTATGCTCTGTTCCATGGCTCTAGCTCCTCATTCTCTGTTCCATGGCTCTAGCTCTAGCTCCTCATTCTCTGTTTCATGGCTCTAGCTCTAGCTCCTCATTCTCTGTTCCATGGCTCTAGCTCTAGCTCCTCATTCTCTGTTCCATGGCTCAAGCTCTAGCTCCTCATTCTCTGTTCCATGGCTCTAGCTCTAGCTCCTCATTCTCTGTTCCATGACTCTAGCTCTAGCTCCTCATTCTCTGTTCCATGGCTTTAGCTCTAGCTCCTCATTTTCTGTTCTGTTCCATGGCTCTAGCTCCTCATTCTCTGTTTCATGACTCTAGCTCTAGCTCCTCATTCTCTGTTCCATGGCTCTAGCTCCTCATTCTCTGCTCTGTTCCATGGCTCTAGCTCTCACACATAATTCTCTGTTTCATGGCCCTAGCTCTAGCTTCTCATTCTCTGTTCCATGGCTCTAGCTCTAGGTCCTAATTCTTTGTTCCATGGCTCTAGCTCATCATTCTCTGTTCCATGGCTCTAGCTCTAGCTTCCCATTCTCTGTTCCATGGCTCTAGCTCTAGCTCCTCATTGTCTGTTCCATAGCTCTAGCTCCTCATTCTCTGTTCCATGGATCTAGCTCCTCATTCTCTTTTCCATGGCTCTAGCTTCTTATTCTCTGCTCAATAGCTCTAGCTTCTCATTCTCTGTTCCATGGCTCTAGCTCTAGCTCCTCATTCTCTGTTCCATGGCTCTAGCTCTAGCTCCTCATTCTCTGTTCCATAGCTCTAGCTCCTCATTCTCTGTTCCATAGCTCTAGCTCCTCATTCTCTGTTCCATAGCTCTAGCTCCTCATTCTCTGTTCCATGGCTCTAGCTCCTCATTCTCTGTTCCATGGCTCTAGCTCCTCATTCTCTGTTCCACGGCTCTAGCTCCTCATTCGCTGTTCCATAGCTCTAGCTCCTCATTCTCTGTTCCATGGCTCTAGCTCCTCATTCTCTGTTCCATGGCTCTAGCTCCTCATTCTCTGTTCCATAGCTCTAGCTCCTCATTCTCTGTTCCATGGCTCTAGCTCCTCATTCTCTGTTCCATGGCTCTAGCTCCTCATTCTCTGTTCCATAGCTCTAGCTCCTCATTCTCTGTTCCATGGCTCTAGCTCCTCATTCTCTGTTCCATGGCTCTAGCTCCTCATTCTCTGTTCCATAGCTCTAGCTCCTCATTCTCTGTTCCATGGCTCTAGCTCCTCATTCTCTGTTCCATGGCTCTAGCTCCTCATTCTCTGTTCCATAGCTCTAGCTCCTCATTCTCTGTTCCATGGCTCTAGCTCCTCATTCTCTGTTCCATGGCTCTAGCTCCTCATTCTCTGTTCCATGGCTCTAGCTCCTCATTCTCTGTTCCATGGCTCTAACTCCTCATTCTCTGTTCCATGGCTCTAGCTCCTCATTCTCTGTTCCATAGCTCTAGCTCCTCATTCTCTGTTCCATAGCTCTAGCTCTAGCTTCTCCTCCAATAGCTGTTCCCAGTTGATAAGGTGATGGAGGGGCATTCATGACTTCATTTAGTCTCCTTAGTTTGATGGATCTTCCTTATCCAAGTTTCAACAATTTTCAAACCCTGCATATTTTACTGTTAATTGACATGGTCTAAAAAATGAGTTTAAGTACTTTAGACACATAATAGATTTGTTTCCGAGGCTTATCACTGTGCTGAGCTACAGTCTTTTTCTACTGCTATTTATGACCATAAACTTTTGTTATTTACAATTTTTAAAATCAAACCAATTAAAACTCAATTTAAATTTTGTTGAATTAAACTCATGATTCTTCTTGCTTCCATGTTTTTAGATACAACAAAACAGAAAACCTCCCAGTTGGTGGGCCAGACATCCTGGCCTATTCCCATCTGATGGTGGGCTCACCAGATAAAAACAGCAGGCTACTGGAAGGCTATGCTGACACGCATACAATCTTAGCTGAAATTGTAGCCTACGACAGACTTGTCATTGACAAGTCTTCCTTCCCACCAGTACGTGTTCTGTTCTCAGAGAAATGTTACATTCTTAAGAAGAAAGTTTGAATCAAATTTTCAGTATTTGCTGACTTACAACTTACAGTGAACAGATTGTTAGACTAGACTTATAGAATATACAATTAGTATTTACTCATGTAGACCAAGTGTTTATGGTTCCTTGATATTATTAGATTGAATATTTGACAATGAATACATTCAATAGAAATATTTTTCAGTTCATGTTTGTGGAATAACACTGGCAATGTGAAATGGAATGAGACACTCCTCTCATTTATTTTTAAAAATGAAGTTTCGGACCGAAGACTTTCAAGATGATTTTCTATTTTTAAATTTGAGAGTTTTTAAGGTCCTAATTTTGTTTGTTTACATACCTATTCATGTAAGTGTTTTAAACTATTTTATAATGTTGGACAATCCTTCTTCCTTTTACCAACCTTTTTCTGCCATTTTTATTACAATTAATATGTTGGTGTTTACAATGTAATTCCTTCTGACCTCGACACATGAGTGTTCTCTTCAACAAGTATTAATATAATACTGACAAGAAATGTTAGTGTAATATACTGCTATAACTATACTATCTGCATTACTGGACTGTATGCTACAAACATCATTTTTTTAACAGTCAGTGAAGTTATGACACAAATAAAATGAACATTTACAGATTCTATCCTTGATCTATGCTCTTTGGGATACTGAGCACTGAAAACAAAATACAGAAAATAAAAGTCAGGATAGAATTTGACTAATGGGTACCCCTAGCAAGACCTTTCACTTCCTGTAAGAGGAGGAGGCGGTCTTAGCCTGGGCTTCAACACCCTCCTACACTACCACAACCCAAGTAATTGTCTATCCTTGAATAAAATACCTCTTTTATGGTAACTGTTTTCTGTTGAAATAAACCTCTATGCTAGAAGCAAAAGCAGTCAACACAAAGAAACTGTTCACTCGTCTTTTTTTTAAAATGTTTTATCGCGTGACAAAAAAATTATCTGCATCATAAACCATTTCTTGTCAAACATTAACACAATTTTTACTTATGTTAGATCATTCATTCCCAGTTAAATACATTAGCGCATTTTTCAAATATGAAATTCCATTCCAAATTAAGCTTATTTATTAAAGCGTAAACGCTTCATTTTTTAAAAAGTAATAGTTCTCGGTTGTTTTAAATGTAATGTTACCGTTGAATAGGAATGACATAACAAAAGTTATGACTTGTAATGTTTTCTTTGCTCGCCAATTAGGTGATTTGTTGTAACTGAGATTTTACGCTATGTTGTCTCATGGGTTGTGTCCCTTTGAATGTCCACAGCATTATTTAAGAATTTACAAGTTGTTTTTTTTTACCACTGTAATTTGCAAGATTCTTTTTTTGTGAGTTATATATTTTTAGGTTATATAATTTAATTTGCAAGGGCAAATTTGTTTAAGCATTAAATTTAATAGTTGAAAGTTGTCTCGTAGGGCAAGATGTAGATTGGATCGCTCCTGTTTTTAATCAAATTCCATGAGGCATAGTCAATCTTGATGACAGACATGGTCAAATTGCTTTAGTTGGGTGACTCATAGTCTTGCAATATACTGTTTTAAAACTAAACAATTTACCATATGGTAACCCATCAATTATTATTATTAAATACTATAAAAAATTTCATTTTAACAAATCAGGAAATGTGGCAAACAAATGTTCAGATCTCATATTGATTATTTGCTCTGTTAAGAATGTGTTCATTTTCTTTACTTAATGTTTTTAAAGATTACAACTTAAAATCAGTAAATAAATGTTCTTTGAAACCAGGTTTCTGGTAATCAACTTCAGAACTCTACTAAACGTAACAAAAATATTTTTTGGAAAAAATGTTTTCTTTATTTTTATGAATTTTAAACAATTTTGATTGTACATGAGTATAGAACTTTCCACAAAAAATCTGCTGAAAAAATGTTTATTTAGGAAATTTGTAGTTATTGGTTTAACAATAAGGCATATATAGTTTCATAACTATGATGAGGTAAAAAGAAAAAAAAAACATGTTCAATTAAAAAATAAAGTATACCGTATATGATATATAAATATGTGTTGATTTAACTTTGTGTGACATATCATTTATTATTGACACGAAAGAGCTTTCATGCTATGTAGGTAATAAAATATCTCAAAGACAGCTGATGTTTCTACTCACAAAGAGAGATGTAAGTTGTGGAAGGCTGGTCCAAAAAAGTAAGCAGTTTTGAAACTAGAATTTTTGAAGATGCATAGCTAAGAAATGATATGATTTGCACAAGTAAATAAAATAGTGATCACCATGACTTCCCCTTGCAAAAATGTTATAAAAATCTGTGATTTGTTTAAAGTCTTAAGAATGCTGTTCAAGGACAAGGATTTGTTTAAAATGAAAAATAACAGCAACCCATTGTGGCACATCCATGGAACATGCATATTTCATGATACCATTACAGTAACAGCATGTATGATTCAAATGGGAACATGCAGAATTGATGATGTGTAAATAGTAACTAAAGTTGATGCTGGATATAAGTAAGTACATGGATAATATGGATATAAAGCTAAACATTGATGGCTATTAAGAACTCCTTCATCACATAAAAGTCTGCATTAATTTCTATTTACAGTCTATTAAATCATTTACTAACGCTGTGTCATGTCTGCTGCACTAAACTAAATTTTGAGAATATTGCAATTAGATTTTTTTCCAGTTTCATTTAAACTGTTGAATTTATTTAAATAATATTCAATCAAATCTCATTCAATGGGACACTGCTTAAAGCGTTCATAAATATCAAAACACAAATTTGAGTCTCAAAAAATAACTTTGTATAATGGCCAATAACATCACACATTATAAAATTTGTTCATTTCGATTCTCAAAAGGTCCATCGCTTTGAAATACCGTATTAAAGGATTCACACAAAAATGTTGATTTAAATTTTCATACAACCAAACATAACACAGTCCTGTAGAGTTTAAATTTAAAATGATCTTGGCCAACAGCAGTTATTTGATTTGACAGTGATCAATTTATGAAAGCAACAAATTTTATCCGTAAACAGTTTTTTGTTTTTTTTAAAATCTGGTCCATCTCTAATGGGCTTTCGATAAAAAGCTGCCACAATATAATATGGGGGTTTGAAATTTTATGTTTTTACATTAAATTTATGGTCAGAACATTCACCTTAACCACATTCAAACAAATGTAAAATAACATGGCATAGGAAGGGTTCACATAAATAGTTATATAAATTTCATTTCTTAGTTATAATATTTTCAAATAAAAGCATGCTCCCCTCTACCACAAAGCTATCCTTGATGTAATGTTCACCTTATTCCAGAGAGTTTTAAAAACAATCACATTTCAAGGCAATTAATTTTACGATGTACTATGTGATATGGACAATAAACTCTTAAAATCAGCTGTATGTTTTAACAATTATTTTAAAACTTAAAATTGTGTCACTTTAAAAATGCCAACCTAAAAACATAGACACAACAAATGTTGATTTCTAAGGCTTTATTGGCACATCAATCACTTTAAGAGATTACAAAATCAACATGATTATTTGGAGACATTTTAAATTAAATTTTGTTTATGTACACATAGATGATGATAGTTGACTAAATCGAATCCCTGTTTGTTAATTATTGGAACAAAAATTTTTCTGTAAAAGAATAAAATTCTAAGAAGATGGATTTTTAAAAAACTGTTTCATGACCATTATTAAAAATAATATTTGACATAGATAATTGCTTTTTTCCTTTACATTTAATCCAAAACTATTTACTGTAAATGAAATCAAATATTTCCTTTTTCTTGTTTTCTAGTTAAAACTAAAACTAAATGATGTTAAACAAATAATCTATAGCATAACCGAACCAGTCTAAAGAAAGAAAAGATTTTAATTCTGATTGGATTGGAGTTGGAGATTCTTTTGGAATATTTTCAATACTAAATAACAACACCTTGAACTGACTGAACACAGCCAAACAATGTTTAAGACAGTTATGGAATGTTGAAGTGTACTAAACCTTCTGCCTGGCAATTCTGTTGTTTGATTTTTGCTTTATTTAAAAATATCTTGGGTACTAACTCTAATATCTATAAACTTAAAGGAATGTGATCATATATAGAGGCATTTTTTTTTTTTTTTAAATGTTCTTGGTATCTTTGTCAAGTAATTTCAGCACATTTCCATCATAAAATATTATTTAAAAATTACATGAAACATTTTCCCTGTAATTTAAAAAAAAATTTTTTTAGAAAAAAACAGCAAAATTGCTGCGAAAATATTTTTATTTTAAAATTATTCCCTAATGATAAAAATTTTTTTTAAAAATAAAAACTCATTTTAACCATTTATATTTTATAGCGTAGTAGGCACATTACTGTTTTATTATAGAACAACATAACTCAAAGTACAGTTAATGGATGTTTTTGCTTTGGACTGGATATATTTTAACCAACTTTTTGCATTTACTAACTTGCAAAGTTTCTTTTCAAGACTTGGTTTAATGAGGACACAATATTCTAACAGAGACCAAATTGCATCGGAGAAAATGTTTTAATATTTTTTCTTCATAAATAAATAAATATTGTACCTAACTGTAAACATTTTTAAATACATTTCTCTACTCATTTCAACATTTTAAAAAATATGATTGTGTTAAAAACTTTTATAATTTTGATGTTGAATTTATATCATTGGAGACAAATTTTTTTCTTCTTTGTGGTCTTCAATTTGTATGTGTCGTTGACTATCCTGTGCCCCTAACTTTCCATCTCACGCCAGTGCCACATGTCTTTATGAGGATCACCATAGCCAACAGTTGGATAACCCCTGGCATAATATTCGGGGGCCAAAGGTCCCAGGTAGGCACGAGGATATCCGTAACTTTTGGTGTAGTAAGGATCTGCTCCGACGGCGTAGACCGGTTCCATGGCTATTGGAAAGTCCCGGCCTCTGTGCTTCTCCAGCACCTCACGGTCTTCGTACCGTTCACTTGTGATGTAGCAACCGGCCAGGGAGTAGAAGGTTGCCGCAAGCGCTGCTAAAATCATGCCAACCCAGCCAAGGGCGTACGACCATCCGTAATTGCGATCAGTTGCAGATCTTAAATCCTAGGAAAATAAATATATTTCCTCAATCAGTTTGAAAGAGTTCAAATATATAGGTCATTATGGAAGTGAAAGTGCTAATAAAACTATACAACATATGAATTTTAAAGAAAACTTTTTGTACCCCCAAGAACAATCTTAAAAGATCTGCATAAACAGGTAATTCCCAAGCTGTGGACTAGAGTTCACTCCCCAACAAAAGCCTAGCCAAGGAAATACAACACCAGCACCCTGGGTGCTATATATCGTATAAGAGAAGGCAAACTATGAAACTGAACACAGGTCAGTAAGCCGCAATGAGACACAAGAAACACTGTTGGTCAACCACAGCATCCGGGTTTGTTTCCAGCTGTCTTGACTAAGTTTTGCCATTGGAAAAAAATGACGAATTGAGCAACTCTGCCTGTCTACAGAGCAACTACGAAGGACGGACAATTAAATAAATATCTGTCTATTACCGTTGACCATTGAGGATAAAATAATTTCTCAGTCAACTTGTTCCTCTCGATGTATTCAGCTCCGTGGAAAAATGCAATGGCTGCTGCCAGAGAAAAGGCTGAAATGAGAGGTAACAAAAATTGAATGTTTGAAAACATTTCTTATTAATATTTATTTTAGATTCTGATATCAAATATTAACTTTCATAATTTTAGCACATTTAGAGACCGACCGAAAGGGATTTTTTTTATTTCGGCCGAAGCCTAAAATAGACCGAAAGTTTAAAATGACTTTTGGCCAAAACCGAAAATAGGCTGAAAGTTTTAAAATGACTTTCAGCCGAAACCGAAAAAAGGCCGAAAGTTAAAAATTACTTTTGGCCGAAACCGAAGCCGAAACCAAAATGAAATATTTAGATATTTTGAAATTCGTTCCTGCATACATTCTGCATACATCGAAAATGATGGGGGAAAGTATAAATATTTACAATATTTTTATAAAAAATTAGATAATCGTGAATATTAATAAATAAACATCTAATATAAGGGTCTCAAACTCGCGGCCCGAGAGCCATTCGTGACCCGCAAGACGATATTTTGTGGCCCGCTACATGTCAGAAAAGTTGAGTGTTAATGCGCCGGGGCGTTTCCCCCATTCTCATATCTATAACGTGACTCTCCGCGACGGTTTCAGTCGAATCTCACCGACTAGTCTAATTCTGATTATTTTAAATGTTTCTATATATTTTTGTATGATGATTGTAATGGTAAGAACCGTTTTAAACTCGGAATAAAAGTTTTTATTTTATAGCTTTTTATGAGACAAACATGGCCAAGAGTGCGGCTTTGAGAAAAGTTTTTTAAAGTAGTTGGCGGGTAATGCACAACCATAATTAATTGTGTAAATCGTAGCAATCTGATACATTATCAAAGGATCCATATTAAAATTGCCTCTAGTGTTTACGAGTGAGGTAAATTCCGAGCCTGTCAGCTTGGTCACTTTCTAAATCATCTTCTTCTTATGCCTTTTAACCCAGTCTGGGTCTCTACATTTTTTAGACTTCAAAACACAGACAGCCACTTTTCAGATTTTTGCTGACCCTTTCTCCTTTAATTTGCAAGATGCCCGCGTGAGGAGCTGAATGGAAAACCAGACAAGCATTTTATTGCATTTCTCTCCACCGTCCCTGAAATTTTTAGGTTGTTGAAGAGGATCATAGGACTTTTTGGGAGTACCTGTCTGTGTGTGTATAGCTCTTTTCCACTATGCACTTTAACAAGTTAAAGTTCAGGGCCAAACTTACTGATGAGGATCTTCAAGCCATACTGACTGTCTCAGTTGCTTCCTCACTCAAGCCAAAGCTGCTCAGCTGTGTAAAAAGAAGCACTGCCAGGTCTCTGGCAACAGTGAGTAGGTGGAAGAAAGTGAATCCTAGTCTTTGAGAACACTTAATGTTTTTATTGTTATTTAAAAAAGTTGAGCAGATTGTAACAGT